TCTGCAAGGATTGCGACTGTTGGAACTACTGGCTTTGTTCTTGCGGTTGATCAAGGTAAAACACTTGCTGGACTCATGGGTCGGGTTTTTTCCATGGTGCGAGCAGAAAAATGTCTTCTCATGCTTGGTTATCTTGTTGGAGTGGTGAAGCTTCTTTCTGGGATGTTCCTCGTTATTCTTCTCAGGTTGCCCACGGGAACCAGGAATCAATCGGGTCGCCTCAGCATAGAGCCTGTTGTCATCCCCAAGGATGTCTCTGCCGATCTGCGTGATCTGCTCTACAGTCCAATCACGCTTGGACTCCCCATTGGGACCAGAGCGGGCCATGGTAACTCTTACCAGTGTTTGCACTGATAAGGTCAGCGAGGCAAGGAAGCGATCAGCGATGCGAGCATCGTCTTTGGGTAAACCAGCATTGTAAACCGCACGGAGGAACTTCTTCGAGTAATCACCGATGGACTCAGTGTTCTTCATCATCATTGTAAAGACCTGGTCTGTGAATCGCCGAGACACCAAGCTGGAACCATGTCTTTTGTTGAAGCATGATTTCGCCGCCTTCCAATCAATACACTTCTTAAGATCCATCTCTACCCATCCGTCATCAGTGTGAGGCAGGCAAAGTGGGAGGAATTTCTTCCAAACTCTCTCGATGTCCAAGGAAGAAGACTCGATCACATTCTTGAAGGTACGTAGGAAATGTCCAACTGATTCAAAAACCTCTTCATTTGGGAAGGGCTTAATAATACTGGAGGCCAATTGGAATTTGGGAAGATCTCTTCTGTTGAGAGTCAACCCTCCTTCACGGCCAGCTCTCTCTGTGTTTGTACCAGGAGAGGCAAGCATCTCGCTGCACTTTTCAAGGCTAGTGATTGCCAATCTTGTGCGCTCGATCCTGCGGAGTGCATCATCAGCTGCTTGCTCATTGTTTGCTACATGAGCAGCGCTGAAGGCCTCGATGTGGTTGCCCAATTCAGCCTTGAGAACGGCCACACAGGAGGAAGCAGTTGCTACTTCTCTACCAACGGGAGGGGAACCAGAACCAGAAACGGAACCAAAACCAGGGGCAGCATCCGGAAAGAGGACGGGCTCACTCAAGTCAGAGAATAATTCATCCGCAGACATGGGGGACAAGGTAGCCTCCTCAGGAACAGGGGTCAAACCAGCGGGAAACAAGTCAGCAGGAGAGTTCATTGTAGTTCACGAAAAAAAATGTTGTGGGGAGAAAATAAAGCAAAATATAATATAGACGAAAGAATTCGTGAGAACTTGTGTAGGTTGTTTATTTCAAAAGAAAAGTAAAGAAATATAAAATTCGATTGTCTTTCTACACGGAACTATCTACTGATATTTATATGTTTTTCTAATTTGTAATTCAGTGTGTGCTTAAGTAATCTTTATCACGATGAGTCATATTCCAGGAGTATTGTTCTTCTGGAAAGATCCGGAAAGACCAATTGATATGATACTTCTCCAGTCAGATCAGTCCAAGAGTTTTGGTAAAGAAGAGCATTTATGCTATTGGTAATATTTTAGTATTCCGACCCAGATACTCGGGTAATGTTTCATAATATTAGATAGTTGTAGTTGTAGTCTCTCAATTAAGTATTTGTATAATAAAAGAAATATGTAGATGAAATATAATGATGCCATATATATAATGTATATGTATTTGTATATCCCATGTCATGGTGATAATAATAAATAATCAATTATGTGTATGATGATCTGTGTATTAGATAATATCATAAAGGGAGATCCGTTTGACTGGAATAGCTGAGGATATTATTTTATCCTTCAGTCTTACTCTCAGATTCAGCAGTAATCAATACTCATTCACAACACCCGAGAAATTTGATCCATGGTTCTGAAGAGATGTACAAATGGATTTGTTTCCATAAGAATGGACTGAATCTTCTCCAAAACACTTCTCTCCAATTGTGGGGAATGGTACTGTCTTTGATCTATCTGAGCAGCACTATCATAAATATAGATCTGAGCGAATTTTGGGTGAGCAATATCAGATTCTGTCACTGGCAAAATAGATCCAATTCTATGACAAATTGTTCCGTGAATCCGGAAGTTGTATGCCCCATTGATATTGTTGCCAACAGAGGTATCAATTTTAGCTCCCAAAGAAGTAAAGCTCATTGTACTATTATAGCTTCGAATGTTTTCAAGAAACTTCTTTCCATCACGTGTTCTACAGTTCAAAAGCTCAGCAATTCCTGTAGGTGTTGGCTCAATTTGGGGGAGAACATGCTTTCCTTTGTTACAACACATAGAGAACGTGGGGCTTCTTAAAGAAGAACGACTGTTTTTTTCATGTGCCCACATCATTGCCCCACAAAATCAACACTCGATATCCATATCTCCCCTGTTATCAACTGCTGGTTCTGAAATAGCTGGAAGTCGGGCAATATTATTCAAGCCTCTGCCTCGATTTCTAGATCCTCTTGCTCTGCTACTGTTATTGTTTGGACAAAATCTGCTTGTAATTCGGCGATGATCAGTTCCGTTACAGTGAGGACAATGGGGTAAAATTGATCCTCTATTCACAGTTGAAATCTCCTCGACTTCTTCTTCTCTTCCAGTCACTTCTTCGTCAGATGAAGTGACCTCGACTTCTTCTTCTCTTCCAGTCACTTCTTCATCAGATGAAGTCTCCTCAATCTCTTCTTCCATGACTGCTTCAAGAACTTCAGTAATAGTCTCATTTGCGAGTGGAAATTCAGTCAACTCAGAAACTGAAATAAAAGTCGATGTTTCTATGTCCAAATTTTGGTCTTGGACAGGCTCACTTCTTATTCTCAAGGCAGCAGCTATTTTTTTATAAACACATTTATTATTAAAAAATATATATAATACTTGCAGTAATACGCATAAGTGTATAAATAAATAGTTACTTTGGCTACTTTCTGCAGGATATTCATCTACATTAGTTCTCTTTTGAGGAATGTGGAGAGAAATGTTCTTTGGGTTCATGAGACATTGCTTATGAGTACTTCTGCTATGTCCAAGCATATGGCAAGCAGCACAACGACGTTGAGTAGATGACATTTTATTTTTCGGTTTTTTTTTTTCAAAGTTAGAGTTTGGTTTGATAGTTATATAAGTTTTTTGGCAATAGTTTGTAAAATAAATTCAAGGGGTTAATATCTCGGTATACCATGTGACATAGTAATGTCAGGAGCAGATTGGAATTGGCACTCAGTTCCAATCCTACCCAATCAGAAACAACTACTCCAACCGCAGTAGTTGGGTGAGCAAGGCCAAGAAGAAGAAGACAACCATTGCTCAGCAAGATACCGCAGCAAAAGGACTTAGCTAGAATGTAGGATACTGTGGCATCTTATAAATTAATATAAATATCATAAATATTATCACAAATAAACATTATCTTTATCTTCATATTTCATTCTATCTTATTATCTTATTGTGTGACTTCTTGCACATTACAGTAAAAGTGCTAGATTTTAGATGTGAATAAATGTTTTACAGGCAAATTCGTATATCACGTGATGCTGCTAATTTTGATTGATTTTAGATATATAGATGATTCATTTGTATGTTACAATTGTGCTGTGCCCTGATACCTCGATTTGGATTAATTAACAACAAAAAAGAAAAAAAGTGTTGGCTATTACTACTTTTTAATTTAAAAGCAAAGATCATCAATATTATATACTACATTTTATAATAATAGCTGATAAAGTAAAATGAAACATATGATTTTGCATTGACAATTGGGTATTTAAGAATTTATATATAGTGTTACTTCAAGAAGCTATATTGAACCGTGCATTTTTTGCAGCATTTGTAATCTGATACACATGTTAATTGCAAGAGGCTATACTGAACCGTGCACTTTTTGCAGCATTTGTAACTTGATACACATGGTAATTCCAAGAGGTTATACTGAACCGCGCACTTTCCACAGCATTTGTAATTCGATACACATGGTAATTCCAAGAGGTTATACTGAACCATGCACTTTTTGCAGCATTTGTAATTCGATACACATGTTAATTCCAAAAGGTTAACCCACACTACTTTGACAACTGACTGTTCCTTTTGTCACCTTACTTTTATTACTTTAACAAGACATTCTAATGAACTTTTACAGCTATACTCTACTTAATTTCGCTATTATTACTTGAAGAAGTCATCTTACTGCGCCTTGACACATGGATTTTACTCTATTATTCAATATTACTTGAAGATATTCTCTTGAATTTATTCTAATTATCATATTACTTCAGCACATTGTTGATTTACATATGATTCAAATCTATTTTAAATTATGACAAGTCTGTCATTATTGGTACAATCGTTATTTTGAAAAAGAGTATATATAGCGTCCCTGTAAAGTTCATGTCTTTCAGAAAAATAATAATCTTACATCTATTCTTTACTATTTCTCTATCTCCATTTACACTTAAATTTATCTTAATTACAAAATCAATTACAATTTATCAAACATCGATATGACTCCTGCTGGACCTATTTGTGCTTCATGTAAACAATTGGGTCACAGCAGGAGATCAAATTTTTCTTGCCCTTTGAACCTAAGACACAAAACTCTCTTGATCCCCCAAAAGAGAACCAGTGATAATCTCTCTGCCCAAGAAGAATATCAAGCAGAGAGTAGTAGAGGTAACATTAAAACAGATTACTTTAATTCATCGGATTGACTTGCACAGTTTCTAACTTATTTACTTTCATCTGCATTTATATGTTTATATAGCTGGTGCTTCGAGACCAAGGGTTGAAGCTGTTCAGAATCCTGTGATACTCACTGTGGCAGAAATCAATGCTCTCTTCCGTACTGCCCAATATTCTGCAGAGAGTAGTTGAGGTAAATAAATAAATTGTAATTGATTAATATTCAGCAAAAATTCTAATCATTTTTTCTATTCTCTATATTTCTGCATTTAGCTGCTGCTTCGAGACCAAGAGTTGAAGTTGTCCAGAGTCGTGTGGTGCTCACCATAGCAGAAATCATTGCTCTCTCCCGTGCTGCCGAATATCCTGCAGAGAGTAGTCGAGATAAATAAATATAGCATAATTGATTAATATTCAACAAAAATTCTAATCATTTTTTCTACTCTATTTATTTCTCTATTTAGCTGCTGCTGCAAGACCAAGAGTTGAAGCTGTCCAGGATTTTGTTGTGCCCATACAACCATTGTCAATTGATCTCTCCTTCACAGAACAATATACTGCAGAGAGCGACAGAGGTAATTTTTAAAATTATAATATAAATTGCCACAATTATTAATTATTCTTTAATATTTTTATTATAGATCTAACTGCTGCTTTTGAGGCTTTGCAAGTTTCTGATGTTGAGAGAGTCTTGGATTTGACTACCACCACTGCCACTGCCACTGCCACTGTTATTCCCTGCTGTTCCAGCTGTAATGGAATTGGTCACCAACGGAGTAACAGCTTACAGTGTCCTAACAACCAAAGGAACCGCAATTTTGTCCCTGGCCAGTTAACTACCACTCATAACATGGCCTAGCATACTACCACCCCACTACCTCTAGCTGACAACAGAGGCACCATGGATGTATAATGCCAATTCTGTAAGGCATTAATGTGGGACCATGAGAAATCTGACAAGTCAACTCAAGACAATGTCCTGTTTTCCATGTGCTGTGACAAGGGACACGCTCTTATTCCCGCCCTGTCTCCAACTCCTTCTGGAATTGCTGATCTTTTGGTGCACAGCACTCCAGATGGCCAAACTTTCTTTGACAAGATCAGACGGTATAACAGCACCATGAGTTTCACTTCTATGGGAGCCAACATCGATCAGTCTGTTGCCAACAACATTGGTGGTGCATACAACTACCAGATTCATGGGACCTTCTGCACAAGATTGTATCAGTCATTCCAATGACCCAGGCTCAGATGGACCAACCCAAGTTTGCTCAGATCTATATCTTTGATCCAGCTTCTCAGATCAAATATAGACAGCGCAATGCCCCAGACTTGGACAGGGTGATCTTGGAAAAGATCCAGGCCATTCTCATGGAGGTCAATCCATTTGTTTCTCTCTTCCGCTCTATGGAACAAATTGCACGTGAGAATAGTGGAACAGCCGATCTGACCATTTGCTTGAAGGCCAATGGACCACAGGACCAGCAATGTTACAATGCTCCCACTGCTAAGGAAGTGGCAGTATTGATCAGAGACAACGAAACTGGCAGCTCAAGGGACATTATTCTCCACACCCACGCAAATGGCCTCCAAAGGATTAATGAGTATAATCGCTTCTATGATGCTCTGCAGTATGTCTTGCTCTTTCCTTTGGGTGATTATTGCTGGACCATCGCGTCATATTCTGCAACTGGGGAAAAGGTGTCTGCCATGGACTGGTACGCTAACCGTCTCATGTACCATTCCAACTCCATGCACTTCCTCCACCAATTTGGCTGGCTCTTTCAACAGTATATCATTGATATATATGCCAAGGTTGAGCACAACTGCCTGGACTTTCTTACCCAAAACCAGAAGAAACTTCGTTCCAAGCTGTACTGTGGCATTCAAGATGCACTCCACCTCACTGACAATAATTTGGCAAATCTTGGTCAGCAAGTCATCCTTTCCTCAACCTTTATTGGCAATCCGCGCTGCATGTGTCAATTGTACCAAGATGCTATGGGCATTGTGCGCCACTTTGGCAAGCTGGATCTCTTTGTAACCTTTATCTGCAACCCGACTTGGCCAGAAATCACAAACTCTCTGTTAAGTGGACAGAGTGCCAATAGACCTGATCTTTGCTCCTATGTGTTTAACATGAAGCTCCAGAAACTCATGCACAACCTGACAAAGAAACATGTTTTGGGCAAGGTTGTAGCCCACATCTATGTCATTGAGTTTCAGAAGCGCGGTCTCCCCCATGCCCACATTCTCTTGATCCTGGCTATGGCAGACAAGCCAGTTACAGTGGACGATTATGATGCCATCGTCTCTGTGGAGTATCTGGATCCTGATCTTGAGCCAGAAGTATTTGCAATCATAAGCCGCCATATGGTGCATGGACCATGTGGACAGGAAGCCTGTCTTGCTAATTCTTCACTACCACATTGCATGAAGAATGGCCATTGCCAGAAGCACTATCCCAAGAGTATCTGAGACAGTACAATTGAAGATAGTGCTGGGTACCTCTATATCGTCAGAGGCAAGATGGAAGATCAGTCATATGGTACAATACCATCCTGGACAATCGATGGGTAGTTCCTCACAACTGCTATTTATGTGTAAAGTACAATGCACATATCAACGTCGAGATCTGTACCTCTGTTGCTTCTGTGAAATATCTCTACAAGTATGTATATAAGGGTCATGACCGTGCTATGACAAGAGTGCAGCCTGGATCCACAGCCACCCCCCGGAGCCCATCAATGAAGTCCAAGAATTCCTCAATGCCCGCTATGTCTCTGCGTCTGAAGCCTGCTGGAGAATTTTTTTCTTTAGGCTTCACCAAGAATCCACATCTCATCAGAGACTTACTATCCATCTTGAGGAATGCCAGCCTATTTACTACAATGAATCAGACTCCTTGGACAACATTTCCAACAGGAACCCCACTACCACGTTGACTGGATGGTTTACTTACAATGCATCAAATACACTATCCCACGAAGTTCTGTATGTGAATTTCCCTGAAAAGCACGTATGGAATAAGTCTCTGAAGAAGTGGACCAAGTGCAAGTCTGCAAAGCTTACACTTGGCAGAGTGCATGCCGTTTCACCAAGAGATCCAGAACGGTACTATCTGAGAATCTTGCTGCACAATGTCCCTGGTGCTACCAGCTTTGAACATCTGTGTACTGTTGGAGGCCAGGTGTATCCTACCAACTAAGATGCTTGCTGTGCTCTTGGGTTGCTGGTGGATGACAGCAGATAGAATCACTGTATGGACGAAGCTGTAAGCTATAAGATTCGATTATCATTGCGCTGCCTGTTTGCTGTCCTCTTGGTCTTCTGTGACATGTCAGATCCCTTTGCTCTCTGGCTGGTCTACTGCTCTTCTATGGTTGAGGACTATCTCCATGCTTTCCGGCAGACAGAAAATGACTTCTCTCTTGAGCCAACTGAAGTCATATATGACAGATGTTTGTAGAGCATTGAAAGCCACATGTCAGCCAATGGTCTTTTTCTCACTTCCTTTTCTGGGTTTGTTCTCACCTCATTGCCAGACTTCTTGGATGCCCAGATCCCTGCCAGTGGATTGAGAACATTGATTGATGAGCAAGAAGCCTTTTGCACTAAGGCTTTGTCTTTGCCTGATTCAGACATGCTCTCATTCAATGAGGAACAGCTAGCAGTATACCGTGTTGTCAAGGAAGCAGTTAAAGCAAGCCCTACAACCCCAAGATTGTATTTTGTTGATGGATCAGGTGGCACTGGAAAGACCTTTTTATTCAATGCCATGCTCAGAAAAGTCCGTCAACAAGGCAAGATTGCTCTCGCGGTAGCTACCAGTGGAATTGCAGCTCTGCTTTTGGATGGTGGCCAAACTGCTCATTCCAGGTTCAAGATTCCCCTTGACATCGACACTGACTCTATGTGTTCCATTCCTGTCAACTCTGAGGTGGCAAAGTTGATCAGGAAAACAGAGTTAATTGTTTGGGATGAGATCTCCATGGTCAGCAAGGATCTTATTAATGCTGTCAATCATTCCATTCAAGATGTCATGAAGTTGGTTGACCCCTTGCTCAAGTCTGTTCCTTTTGGTGGTGACTTTCGTTAGGTGTTTCCAGTCATTCCACAAGGAAACAAAGCCCAGATTGTTTTCCAGTGCATCAAGAAAGCGCGTCTCTGGAGCTTTGTTCACCACATGAGACTTACAAGGAACATGCACATTGCCAAGTCCACCAATCCCCAGGAAATGGCACAGCTTAATGCATTTGCTGCCCTTCTCTTGACTGTTGGCAATGGCAGTCATTGGACGACTGGTGGTGAAGGCGTCTTTCTCATCCCACCACACATGCTTCTTCATGGCCGTAATCTCAATCACCTGGCCAGTGCAATCTTTCCTGATCTTCTTAACAATGCCACCAGTCCCAGCTTCCTTATGGGCCGTGCAATCTTGACCCCAAAGAATACAGAAGTTAAGAAGATCAATGACATCCTTATTGAACTGTTCCCTGGACAAGAAACCGTGTTCAAGAGTATCAACAAAGGTCTAAGTGAAGATAATCAATTGAGCTACCCAATTGAACTGCTCAACACTCTCAACCCTGGATCTTTGCCTCCACATACTCTATGTCTCAAGAAAGGATGTCCTATTATGCTACTGAGAAACCTGGACCCCAAGAATGGCCTCTGCAATGGTACCTGCCTTATATGCAATGACTTTGGCAGATATGTCATCAAGGCTACCATTGTAACTGGATCAAGTGCTGGAAAGGTGGTGCTCATCCCCAGGATCAAGCTGAGCCCAACTGGATCGACCATGTCCATTGAGTTCAAGCGATGTCAATTTCCAGTCCGCCTTGCCTTTGCCATGCCTATCAACAAGTCCCAAGGCCAGACCCTTGACAAAGTTGGTCTGTACCTTCCCGACCATGTCTTTGGTCATGGGCAGTTGTATGTCGCTCTCTCCAGGGTCCAAACTCCAGACTCAGTAAAAATCATGGTTGATATGGACAGTATTTCTACTGAAACAACTAGCAATGTCTATATAAACAATGTTGTTTATAATGAAGTGCTTTCTAGAAATTAACTAATCCGTTTCATATCATATGCTTTCTGTCCTATGTCTTTATCCAAATATGTCAATCTTTATCTATATGCTTTATTTTTATTTTTGTATTTTTTGTATTCACATTATTTCTGCTTATATTTATGCTTATGCTTATGTTTTTTTTTATTTTTTTTTCAAATATTTTAATACTTTTTTTAAAATTGTTAATACTAATTGTGTATATGACAAAGTATAATGTTTTCTTTCCTTTTTGAAAATATCAAAATACAAACCCTCAAAAAAATATGGCTTCAAAATATATTCCTTACTATTATTTTATTTTTATTACTATAATAAACCTTTATAATAACAAAATACAAATAAACTCAGACAAACAATTTTTTCTTTCTTTTCATAGTATGGTTATTGCTTCCTGAACTATTTTCTGTTGTAAATGAGTATTGACTACTGCTGTAATTGAGAATAAGTCTGAAGGAAATAATATAAGGCCTCAGCTATTCCAGTCAAAGGTATCTACCAATTACTTTATTATTTAACACACAGGTTTAGTATGCATAATAGTGATTATATTTCATATAATGATATCACCATAATATGGGATACATCAGTAGATTATTATAATTTTAATTATAACTCATAAACACATTTACTTTCAATGTTAATACTTCATTGGGACTACACACATTTATATAATTAATCATACATTAATTATCCCAAGATCACATTGCTCTGATTAAGACTCAGATAGGATCGATTACCTGACCCCAGTCATATAATTTTCCCGATCCAGAATAATATAAATAGCAGTAGTAGTTCAGTGTAGGAACCTCGTCAAACTTTGATACCAAATCTTTTCTCAATAAACAAAACCTACACAAGTTCTCACAAATCTTCATTCTTAATCTCAAATCTTCAATTTTTCCTCTTAAAAACTTCTTCAACTTCAACCACCACAACAGTCCCAATGGGGACAACCGGTCTATCTCGTTTGTATATATAATTTTAAGAAACACTATTCAATAGTTAGTTAAAAAGTTAAATAGAACTAATACTAAATCTTATTATACTATTTTAAATAATATGAGAATATATTATAACTCTGATCTATGAGAAGAGTTGTAACACAGAAATAAGTATATACTTAAGTTTCTTTTACAATATTCTTCTTTTCTTAATCTAGTTGAGAAGTACTCTTTAAAATATAAATTATTTTAAAAAAATAGTATAGATTATAAGAAAACCTTTATCAAAAAGATTTAAAGATGGAATCAATAAATTTTCAATTAATATTATGAGTACTAAATGAAATACAATATCTTGTTCAATAAAAAATATATCAATATAGAAAAACGCATTAATAACATTTTTTGACAAGCATCTATGACTATTTCAATAATTTTATATTGTTGTGTCTAAGGATAACCCTGCCCATATCCCAGCCATAGCTAGTACTCTGATGTTCTGACTGTCTGCATCTCCCAATACATGGATCACCTCTCTGCATCTTTCTGTTTCTGTCTTTGTCTCTGTCTCTGTCTCTGTCTTGTACTGTTGTAATATGCATAAGCTTACATATATCACAACATGTCCTATCTCTAACTTTCTCTATCTCTCTATATTTAGTATAAATACTTGCTCAATTGCTATCAATAAAAGACTATCTTTCTTAAGTTCATAATCTTTGTGTCCCAAGCCTAGTTGCCTAAACTAGCCTTATATCCCTACATAACTCCACATAGTTATTATAATATGACTAATGTTTTTTGTATGAGACAAAGTTTTATTATTAAATTGCCCAAAAACAGGTCATACTTCCTAAAGAAGGAGAGGTAGATGCCTGGAGAGAGATTGATGAAGATAAAAAGTGTGGGAACTATGTAGTAGGAAATGATAAAATTACAGAGAAGAGAAAAACAAAATTAACAGAAGAAAAAGAACAAAAAGAAGAAATATTACAGAATAAAGTAGAAAGTAGATGGAGCACAAGAGTGAGAGACCTAGTCTAGGAGATGGGAAGACTGAAAGAAAAATTGAAGCGATTTGTTCACAGAAACAACTACATTGGCAGGAACAAAAGATATATCGTCAAAAATTGTGTGCCAGTATGCTTTTCACACTGCGGCAAGAACACCATCCAAAACATGGTATGAGTCAATATGAGGAGGGGAGGGAGGGAGGGCGAGAGCATAAAAGGCATGAAGGATTGTGGATGGTTGGGCTCACCAGTGTGGTATCCACATATGCATAGTCATAGACCAAACTTGCCAAATGAGAGGACACTCAACAAGGAAATGTTCAGGAGTTTGGTTAGAGTGACCACGTAGACAGCACTCAGGGAAGGTGACAAAGCTGAGGATAATAGCATGAAGGATGGAAGCTGAGGAAAGAGAGTTATGTAGAAGTCGAAACCATATGTTGCAGGTCAAAGTGGACAAGGTCAAAGACCAGAAGAAATTCCATTGGCGAGGTGACAGGTGTGAGACCGATTGGTGGGGGTTTGGATCAGGAGGGGGGCATAGGAGTCAAAACAAACGTTGAGAAAGTTTGAGTTGTCTTATAAAGGAGGTAAAGGATATTGAGAGGTGCATAGGGTCAACTGTGCCATATGAGCCATCATGAGAAGCGGAAGGGTGAGAGGGTGGAAGGCAAAGAGAGGCAAAGAAGGGGTGTATGGCCTGTGTGTGTGTCAACAATGCAGAAAAATTGGTTGATGAGGATTGGACTTGTTGTTCAAGAAGATAGAGGGAGATGAGAAAAACAGAGAAGTAAAGGATCATAGTAGAAAGCATCAGAAACCAACAGTTGATGAAAGCAAGAATTAGAAAAAAAAGTGTTATGTGGTAAAGAATGATATATAGCACTAAGAGGAAGAGAAAAACATGTAGCAAAAGAAAGAGAATAAGGTATGTCTAAGGAAGGTAGTTTATCATAAGCAGAAAAGAATAAAGACAGTGCAGAAGAGAAAGGAAAAGTGCCTTTGCAACTGGTAGAAAAAAAGAAAAAGAATGTATGATCAAGCAAATGGAAAGGGGAAGCAGAAGAATACATAGAAATATGAGCGCGTAGCCAAAAAACAGGAATAGAGAGTGTGGCACGAGCAGGAAATAGAAGAGGAAGAAGCCATCGAAATTGAAGAGCATACTGTTGGGCAGCCGGATCTATGAGACCCAGCCCTCCAACAGACCGTGGAAGACATAATGTAGCATATTTTACTCTTGAAAACATGCAGTGCATGACAAACTTACCAACAATAGACTGTAGAGTGTTCATGAAGGTCTTTGGAAACCAAACAAGACGAAGGACGTGCCAAAGACAAGAAATAATGAGAGAGTTGATGATTGTGGCGCGTTCATAAACTGAAAGGTAACGTTGAGAGTATAACTGTGTTGTCAAGTGTATATCATTGAGAAGTTTTGTGCCAAATGCATTGCGTTGTGTGATGGTGTGGATGAGTGGATAGCCTAAGTAAATTGCTGGCAAGAAAGAGGAGCGATCATACCACGAGGTGATACTGACAGATTGGAGAGGGATCTGCCATTCTGGTAGTGTGGATCCGAACAGAGAGAGGGCATGGGTTTTGTGCATATTGACCTTAGCATTAGATGCTAGGCCATAAGTATGAAGATGTTTGTTGAGGCGGTGTAAATCTTCAGGATCCTTGAGAAAGGCAAGGAAATCATCAGCATAGACTAATACTTTAAGAGAAGTGGAAGGAACAGATTGGGAAATTGTGTAGCCTTGAAAAAGAGAATCATCAAATATATGAAGGAGCAAAGGTTTGAGGACAAAGTTGAAAAGAACAGGAGATAGCGGGTCACCTTGGCATAAACCTTGGGATTGGAGGACAGAAGAAGAAATGTAACCATTGATATTAAAGCGTACTCGAGTCTGAAAAAAGAGGGAAGTGGTAGAAGTGACAAATGAATGTGGAAAGCCATATTTGAGGAGGACTGTTTGAAGATATTGAAAATGGATGCAGTCATAGGCTTTTTCCTGGTCAAGAAGGATGCCAATTGCAGTAGAAGATGTCTTGTGGGTTTGTTCCATAACCAATTTCACCAAAAGGTCATTATCTGCAATAAATTGAGAGGGAAGGAATCCAGTTTGATATGGGTTAAGTACAGTATTGGCAATTGGGGCCATGTAGATATTGAGGAGGTGGGCAAAAATTTTAATGTCACAATTAATGAGGCCAATTGGGCACCAGTTACGAAGGAGAGACAAGTCACCTTTCTTTGGCAAAAGCTGCACACAAGTATCTGTCCAAGAAGAAGAAAATAAGGAATGGATGAGAGCATCATTGTAGACATGTGTAATTAAAGAGGCATATAGGGGGTGTTGGAATAGTACAGCTAGAATAACATAAGGCAAACCATCTTGGCCAGGGCTACTAGGTTGTGGGGCCCTGGAGACGCATTGCTGAATGTCGTCCAAAGTGAAGGTGGTGGTAAGAAGGTCTTGTTGTGCAGAAGTGATGTGGCGGGAAGGTGTAATAGAGGAAAGAAGCTGGTTCATAACGTAATTGTCAATATGATCAGGAGAAAACAAAGAAGAATAGAAAGCAGTAGTAGCAGTCATCATAGTGTCGGGAGTAATGCATAGTATGTTGGTATGAGGATGGTCGAGAGGGGGCATATTCTGCTGCTGTGTATGAATGGCAATGACTTTCTTGAGATAGCCAGCAGATGTCTTCCCATGTTCTCTCCAGCAAAGTCCAGCTCGAAGGGAGGCGGTGTCAACAAGTTCTTGCTGGATTGCTGCAATTTGTTGGTCATATTTAGGAAGAAGTAGAAGGCAAGCAGGTAGTATAGGTTTTGACTGCAAAAACCAACTCCGTTTGCTCTGGAGTGATTTGAGCAGTTTTATCCGATATGTAGTATAACATCCACCAACTTTCTTGGTGGTCCTAATCATAGTAGCTTTGACGACTTCCCACTGGCGTTGTGAATCATCTGGAGGAAGGAGAGGAAAGAGGCAAGGGAGAGCAGAATCGAGGGCAGAAAGAAAGGCGGGATTGGAGGTGAGAGAAGGGTGAGCCCACCATAATCCACACTCTTTGTTGGATGTGCCTAGACAAATAGTAGCCTGAAGCAGAGCATGGTCGGTCCACAAAGGAGAGATAAACTGGACATTGCAATTGATAATTGAGGAGGACATAGAGTATGGAGCAAATATATAGTCTGTAGTAGTGGTAGAAGAACTGCGGCTAAAGGTAGGGAGCAGTGTTGAGTCGAGAGAGGTGTGACAGTTGACAAAGTAAGATCCAAGATAATGTTGCCAAGGAAGAGATGCCGTGCATAGTGAGGTGGGATTAAGGAAAGAGAAATTAAAGTCGCCCAGGATGAAGAGTCGATCCTGGATGGTAGAATTATTAAGAATAGTGAATGACTGTAAATCAGAATAAAAGGCAGGACGAGCAGCAGGAGAGGCGGGTGCATGCACAACAAGAACATAGAAAGGGTCAACACTAGAAGACGTATGAGTTATCTTGGCAAGAAAAGCACGATCGTCTTCAGGAATGGGGATACGTTTAAGAGAGAGAAGAGGAGAAAGAGTGACTAAACCACATTGATAAGTCTAGAGGGAGCTGCTGGCGCGAAATTAATTATGTATAACAGTAGATAGTGAGGCGGAGGCAAATGTTTCTTGTAAAGCAATTATATCAGAAGAGGTCTGGCGCAAGAAGCAAATAAGATTGGAGTGGTAGGAAGGATCAGATAATTTGGCCAGGCTATTACAATTTAGACTTGCAATGCTGACATTGAGAGTAAGGGCCAACATAATTATTGATGGACAGGAGTTGCAGCACCACCCTGTGGAGGGTTGGTGGGTGTGGCAGTATCAGTCTTCGTGATAGCAGAGATATTTTTCCTAATTTTTCCAAGCAGTGCTTTGGTTTTATAATAGAGTTGGAGGTCTTTAAGAGTTTGGGCGTGTTTGCTGAGGTCTGGGAGAATCAAGGTGTTGTGGGGAGTGATGGTTGAAGCACCGGTGACACTAGCAGGAGAAGAGGACAGTGCAACAATGGAAGCCCAGGTAGCCTCTAATTCTTGTTGTGTGGCCTGGGCCTTGGTCTCTGCTGAACGTGCTAGGGCAGCATTCAAGGCCTCAATTTCGTCGTCTTTGGCAGAGAGGGTGGCAGCAAAGTTAGCAACAAGTGCATTAGGTTTCTGCTTGGTGGCCATCTGTTTGTCGAGTGCCTTGGCTGCTATCTCTTGGTTCACAGCTTCTTTGGTAGTGAGTTGCTTGGCCGCAGCTTTTTGTATGACAGCATGAGAATTCTCAATGTCAAATTCAGCAGTTCGCAGATTGTTATAATCATGTTGTGTGCTGGCTTCAGACATTTCGACCTCTGGTATGGCATTGTTTGTCAGGTGGGATCCTTTTCAAGGATGCGAGTTCTTGGCTTGAGCCCAAGGGCACTGGTCTCTGACGTGCCCAGTTTGGTTACATATTCAGCACTGTCATTTGTTGGCTGGGCGTTCAGGGCAGTTCTGACAGTCATGACTGTCAATGTGACAATACCAACACCAAATAGGCATGAAGCTCGTGGTAGCCAGAAACCATCTGAGGTATCCATTCACTGAATATTATGTGGCATGTGAGGATATTCCTCCCCAGAGTCAGTAGGACAGGTGTCCAGAATGGCATACCCGGTACCTAAAAATGTTTGGAACTTTGGCTCGCAGCAAATTCCAACGTTGAGAATGTAGCCATACAGCACAAGACTAGTTTGTAGGCCATACAACAGGTCAGACAGATCAAAAATGGGCAAGCGAGAGAGACTGATACACTGGATAACAGCGCCTGTTTCCAGGCCTGAGGTGGCAAGTAAAGTTACCTTCTCATCAGGGAAGTGAAGACAGGTTTGACATGCTCTTTGGATGTCCATATCGTTCTGAGGCAAAAAGTTTATCTCAAAAAGGCAATGAGGGCCATTTTTGTGGAAGAGAATACAACTGCGAGATGGGTATTTGCCATGTACCAATGCAATGAGCCCTTCTTGAGCAATCAATTTATGGCCAGTGACATCGAAGATGATACTGCCAGAGGAACAGCCATTACACCAGACATGCGAAGGCATGATGACGGTGTTGGTTTCATTGTTTTGAGAGGGGTTGTGGTTGTGAGTAAGCAATACTCATTCAGAAGAAACGATGCATAACCAAAGTGTACCAGCTTTGGTGGGTGATTTATGCTGATGTGGTGTGCCTTGTTCAGGCGTGTCGGGTATGGTAGTGGAGGAAGCCATGAATATGACTAATTAATTTTGCGGTTGTGTCCAAACTTTTGTCACAAGCCGCGATTTCGATAAAAAAATTCTTGTTGATAGGAAGTTTAGAAAACATGAAACACTTTATTATGTTGTATAAAGTATTAGATTAAAATAGTTTTGTCATATGGACGCACACACAATAAAGTTTGTTTTTGTAAAATAGTAATCCATAATTGTTGCGCATGTTAACGCACACACGTATATTTTTTTTGCTCTTTTTTCATTTATGCAGAAGTCATATTAAACAAGTTTACTGGACAGGATTTTTATATCATATTCGCAGCTTGAGATAAAAATTTATAGACAGCTGAAAAAAAATCGTCAGAAATACACTGTTGTGAACCCTAAACCAGTAACTGTGAGGAGTGGACGGAAATCAGTACTCAGTTCTAATTATCTCCAATCAGAAGCAATCACTTTGACAAAAGATATTGAGTAAGCAAAAGTGACTAGAGAAGGAGTGCTGCTTAGCAATATACTGCAGGAAAAGAATCTTTATATAGAATCTAGGATACTGCAGTGTCTTATAAAATAGTATAAATATCACCAATATTATTATGAAAAAATATTATTTTTTGTTTTCTTCAAAAGTTTTTTATTTCTCTTTTACTCTTTTTGTGAATCAATGACTTTCTCTTACTGAGTTAATCCTAGTTTATTTTAACAATATCAAATTTACCAAAAATACTGTATTGAAATAGCTATGAATACAAATTAAAAAAATGTTTATTAATGTTTTTTCTTTACATAGATATATTTGCTATAGAATCAGATGTCATGTCTCATCCAATCTGTGATCTTACTTGGTTATAGTATTGCTTACATCTTTTATTCTTTCTACAAGTGTTTTCTGACATTTGATAGAATAATTTTTAACAAAACATTTTAATTTTGAAAAGTTTTACTCTACTGAGTGAAAGAAAGAGAAATATGAAGAAAGAAACTTTAGATTGTATATGTTTCTTTGATCCAAAGACTCTCTGATATCAGGATTGTAGTGGATTCTTATGTTATTCAGAATAAGATGATATGGTTCAGCATTAATTACATCTAACTTTTCAATCAACTGTTGAACAAATTATTTGAAGGTTAGGTCTGTAAGTTATTGTTAATAAAGTAATAAACATACTAATATGCATGTATGTAAGATATATAGTAAAGTACTATTTGTGCTAAAAATATTCACCAGTTGTTCTATCTTTCACTATCTTTGTATAATATGATTTAACTATCTTGGATAACAAAGCAAAGAGACTCTACACATTTTTGACTCTTTAAAAACTTTGTTATGCAAGGGCATACTTTTCTGTCTTTGCTCTGATATAACTCTTAATCAAGTAAAAATTAAAGTCAGCCTCATTGATAAAAATACAATTCTGGCTGTACAAGATTTCTTCTAGCTGCAATCTTAAAATATACTTGTGTCTTTTTCTAAGAGTCATCTCATCATTTCTCTTCTCTTCAATTGCTGTCACTCTTTTGAGAGTAACAGTCTCAATATATTGGAGGTCATTGCACAAGATACATATACTTATTTTCTCTAAGTCATGAAAGTGATCTACTAGTATTTGTTATAGCTCTGCTAGTGTGATAGTATTGTTACTATCAATTATATTCAAAATAAGCTGTTTGTGATAATCTTTAATGATTGGTCTCAAATCACTATCTAGAGACTTGTACTCCATACTTCTAGTTCTTTTAAATCTTCTAAGTATCAAGTTCACAGTGAAGTATGGAATGTTAAGATTCTTGTCCATTTCTTATAGAGCTTTTAACTAGTTTTTACTCTTTTCAATTATTAAGTAACAGATATGTATTGAGTGTGTAGCATTGCTGTACTTCTTTCCCTTTCTGTATTTTATATACAGTATTGAAAGTCTTTCTATATCAGACATTTTAAGCTTTTTGAGAGATAGTTCTACAGTTGGTTTTTGAATATAAGAAAGAAAATGAGATCAAGATTATACAGATTTTTATTTATGCTTCTTATATGTCTTTTATTTTAATAAAATATGAGGTAGACCAGCATTCCCAATGGGACTGCATTAAGAAAAAAAACTATACTATAAAAAAAAAGAAAAAACTGTTTGTTTGAGCTTATTTGAAATTTTATTATTATAAAGATGTATTGTAGTAATAAAAATAAAATATTAGCAAAGAATATATCTTGAAGCTATTATTTTGGGGGTTTTATATTTTGATATTACTAAAAAGAAAAGAAAATATTATATTTTGTTATATATACAATTGATATTGATAATCTTTTAAAAAAAGTATTAAAAGTTTTGAAAAAAAAACAAAAAAAAACATAATGATAGACATGAAAATAAAGATAAAGATAAAGATAAGTATAAGCATAAGCATTAGCATAAGCATAAGCATAAGCATAGGTATAAACAAAAATAACGTGAATACAAATATTGTATCCAACATAATCGTAGATTTAAATTAAAAGTACAGACACTCAATAAATACGTACATTGAGTTACCGACAACTAGTAACAATACTAAAAGATATACCTTCCCTTATACAAGGAAATTACGTAAAGAACATACTAAGACAAATACTAAAACTCTAGTCAGTAACACTAAAAACATAAGAACTAAATCATAGAAGATAATGGTAGAGAAACAGACATTACATGATATCATCATATCATCACCAAGCTAAATACAATGTCTATATAAACGCACAATACTAATAGCAATAGAACAGTATCTCTTTTCTGATTCTTTCACTTCTTCTAATAAAACAAAGTCTCACCATACTCTCATCTGCACTTGCTTTATTTTATATTTTATTTTTACCTCATACATAACAACAAAAAATATAAAAATAAAAGTCTATAGAAAAAGATTGACATGTTTAAATAAAGACATAGGGCAGCAAGTATATGATATGCAACAGATTTGTTAATTTCTATAATGCACTTTATTATAAACAATATTGTTTATATAGACATTGCTGGTTGTTTCAGCAGAAATATCATCTATATTAATTATAATGTTTACTCAGATTAGTGTTTGGATCTGGGAAAGAGCAACATACAACTGCTCATGTCCAAAATCATGGTCAGGAAGATATAGACCAACTTTGTCAAGGGTCTAACCTTGAAACTTGTGATAGTCATGGCAAATATAAGGCAAACTGGAAGGTGGCTGCACTTGAACTCAATGGGCATGATCAATCTAGTTGGATTCAGCTTGATTCTGGAGATAAGCACTACCTTTTCAGCACTTGATCCAGTTACAATGGTAGCCTTGATAACATTTATAACAAAGTCATTGCATGTAAGACAGATATCATTGCAGAAGACATTATTTGGGTTTATGTTTCTTAGTAGCATAATAGAACATTCTTTCTTGAGACATAAAAAGTGAGGAGGCAAAGATTTTAGGTTAAGAGTGTTGAGCAGTTCAATTGGGTAGCTTAACTAATCATCTTTGCTGAGACATTTATTAAACTCTTGAACATGGTTTTTTGTTCAGAGCACAGTTTCATAATGATGTTGTTGATCTTAACTTCTGCATTCTTTGAGTTCAAGATTGCATGGCCCGTAAGGAAGCTGAAATTACTGACATTATTAGAAAGATCGCAGAAGATTGCTCTGGTCAAGTAATTGATATTATGGCCTTGAATAAGCATATAGGGGCGATCTGAAAGGTGTCTGAACCACCAGTTGTCTAAAGACTGTCATTACCAGCAGTTAAGAGAAGGGCAGCAAACACATTAAGTTGTGTCATTTCCTAAGGATTGACAGACTTAGCAATACACATGTTCTTGATTAGCTTCATGTGGTGAACAAAGCTCCAGAGACATGCTTTCTTAATATATTGGGAAACAATCTGAGCTTTGTTTCATTGGGAAATGACTGAAAGCACCTGAAAAAGTCACTAGAAAAGACCAAAAGCTTGCCACTAAAAGGAACAGACTCGAGCAAGAGGTCAACAAACTTTATGACATCTTGAATGCAACAGTTGACAGCATTAATAAGATTCTTGCTGACCATAAAGATCTCATTCCAAACAATTAAATCTATTTTCCTGCTCAACTTTGCCATATCAAAGCTGACTGGAATGGAACACATTGAGTCAGTATTAATGTCAAGGGAAATCTTGAACCTGGAATGAGTAGTTTGATCACTATCTAAAAGTAGAGCTGTAATTCCACTAGTAGCTACCACAATAGCAATCTTGTCTTGTTCACGAACTTTTCTGAGCATGGCATTGAATAAAAAGATCTTTCCAGTGCCACCTGGTCCATTAACAAAATACAATCTTAGGGTTGTAGAGCTTGCTTCAACTGCTTCCATGACTACACAGTATACTGCTTGCTGTTTCTCATTGAATGAGAGCGTGTCTGAATCAGGCAAAGACAAAGCCTTTGTGCAAAGGGTTTCTTGCTTATCAATCAATGTTTTCAATCCACTGGCAGGGATCTGGGTATCCGAGGAGTCTGGCAATGAGGTGAGAACAAACTCAGAAAAGGAAGTGAGAGAAAAACCATTGGCTGACATGTAGCTTTCAATGCTCCACAGACATCTGTCATACATGACTTCAGTTGACTCAAGAGAAAAGTCATTTTCTATCTGTTGAAAAGCATGGAGATAGTCCTCGACCATAGAAGAGCAGTAGACCAGCCAGAGAGCAAAGGGATCTGACATGTCACAGAAGACTAAGAGGACAGCAAACAGGCAGCGCAATGATAATCGAATCTTATAGCTTACAGCTTCGTCTATACAGTGATTCTATCTGCTGTCATCCACCAGCAACCCATGAGCATGAGTAACATCTTGGTTGGTAGAAGACAGCCAGCCTCCAGCAGTAGACAGATGTTTAAAGCTGGAGCACGAGAGAAATTGTGTAGCAAGGTTCTCAGATAGTAATGTTCTAGATTTCTTGGTGAAATGGCATGCACTCTGCTAAGTGTAAGCTTTGCAGACTTGCACTTGGTCCACTTTTTCAGAGAGTTATTTCATATGTAATCATCAGAGAAATTCACATACAGAACTTTGTGGGATAGTGCATCTTATGCATTGTAAATAAACTATCCAGTCAAAGTGGTCATGGTGGTTCCTGTCAGAAATGTTGTCCAAGGAGTCTTAATCATAGTAGTAAATAGGCTGGCATTCCTCAAGATGGATAGCAAGTCTCTGATGAGATGGGGATTCTTGGTGAAGCCTAAAAGAAAAAATTCTTCAGCAGGCTTCAGACGCAGAGACATAGCAGGTATCAAGGAATTCTTGGACTTTATTGATGGGCTCCAGGGGGTGGCTGTGGATCCAGGCTGCACGCTTGCCATAGCACAGTAATGACTCTTGTATACATACTTGTAGAGGTATTTCACAGAAGCACCAGAGATACAGATGTCAACATTGATATGTGCACTGTACTTTACATGTAGGTAGTGGTTGTGAGGAACTACTCATTGATTGTCCAGGATGGTATTGTATTGTATGACTAATCTTCTATTCTGTCTGCAATGATACAAAAGCTATTCAGCACTATCTTCAATTGTACTGTCTTAGATACTCTTTGGATAGTGCTTCTGGCAATTACCATTCTTTATGCAACATGATGGTGAAGAATTAGCAAGACAGGCTTCCTGTCTATATGATCTATGCACCATATCACAGCTTATGATTGCTAATGCTTCTGGCTCAAAATCAGAATCCAGATACTCTGCAGAGATGATAGCATCATAATCATCCACTATAACTAACTTGTCTGCTATAGCCACGATAAAGAGAATGTGGACATAGGAGAGACTGCGGTTCTGAAACTCAATGACATTGATATGAACTACAACCTTGCCCAAAACATGTTTCTTTGTCAGATCGTGTATGAGTTCCTAGAGCTTCATATTAAACACATGGGAGCAAAGATTGGGTCTATCATTGGCACTCTGTCTACCCAACAGAGAGTTTGTAATTTCTGGCCAAGTGGGGTTGCACATAAAGGTCACAAAGATATCTGGCTTGCCGAAGTGGTGCACAATGCCCATAACACTACAAAAATTATATGATTTCCCCTTGAGAAACTTCGGTTGAATCAAAGTGAAATTTTGATAATATTTCAACTCTACAGGGTTTTTTACTTTTGGCGGCGACAATTTAATTGGGCCAATTCAATTGGATATAGCATATGCTATGCCTTCCAACATTTATTTTGACCAGTTCTTTGTCCTGTCGCCAACAGATAAAAAAAAACTTTTACTTTGATATTAAGACTAGACCGATTATATTTTAAAGACTATAAAAAGAAGTTTAATTATGTACTTTTATTACTTTGACTTTTGTAATTTTTGTAAATGCTATTGTGGTTATAGAATTGTAAATATATAAAGACATAGATAAATGGGGTTTTATTTCGCAGATATTCTGTATATATATAAAACTTTTAAAAGAAAATGTAAAACTGAAACATTTTGTTCAAATATATTCGTTTTACATTGATAGAAAGTGATATAATATGACATGGTTGACAGAGATGGGAACCAATCAGTATAACATTGAGGAGATATGTTAAAAGGAATTACCAATTGGATACCTGATTTAAGGATTTCTAGCTACAATGTAGACTCTGATATTAAAATAGGAAAGTGTATAAAAATAAACTATGTTACTGAATAATTTCCCTTTTTTGCAAATTTCATAAATGCAACCCAATTCCTAAAATGTCTAATAACCAAGTTGAATGCAGTTGCTCAGTATGCTCTCCAAATGGCAGATACTCTGTTATAATCTCTTCCCAGACATGCCGTAGACATTTTGCAGATGATGTACAAAGAAATTTCCAAAGACAATCTTGTATATATAAAGCTACCTTAACATCTTATTTTACATGATAATTTAACACATTTATATAATACAGTGTTACCTGCAGAAGCAGTAGACATGGTGAATTACGACGCTAATGATATGGAGATTGATGCCTAGACAAATATTTCTGAAGATCTTGAATGTAATTATATTTTTTTGCAAGTTTTATAAGCTCTTATAATTCTAATTATTCAACTCTTTCTACTATAGTTGTTCACGACTTACCCAGTTCTAACGATGAGGATTTGTCCAACTCTTACGGATTCAATAACAATTCTGAAAACATTGAAGGTTAGTATAAAAAGCAGATAAGAGAAATACCTTGAAATATATTTTGAATATTAATACAACTATGCAATAGAACAATTGTTTAGTCATGAAATGCCAGCAGATCTAACCTACGCTTTCATCGCATCCTTTGCTGCATATTTTATATCCAAATACGTGGTCAATTATGGTGGTGCTATCTTTATCAAGTTTATCAATGAGGTGCTGGCACACTTTGGACAATCATTCCGTCTGCCGTTGAGTCTGAAGCGTTTGAATTCATTGACAGATCTAAGCACATTGACTGCGGGCATCCATCACTTTGTAGCATGTGGCAAATGCCATAAGATTTTTTCTGAGTCAGCATCCGAGTTCATTCCCTAGTGTCGCGACTTCAGAAAGTTGTCCAGAAACACATGTGGAAACAATTTGTTTTTGGAAGCCCCCAATAGCTTGGATAGACCAAGAAAGGTCTATATGTACAACTCGATAACAACAGCATTGTCCATCTTCTTTTTGCGTCCTGAATTTGAGAGATCAATCAACCTCTGGAGATTCCGACAACAAGTACCAGGAACTCTGTTCAATGTGTACAACGGGGCAAAATGGAACTCATTGAAAGATAATACTGGTCAACAATTTGTAGCACATGAACGTTCTATTATGCTGACACTTAACATTGATTAGTTTCAGCTCTTTGATGGGGTTACTTACTCTTGTGACGCGATTTACTTGTCTGTAAACAATCTGCCCAGGGAGGAAAGATACAAGAAGGAGAACGTTGTCCTTGTGGGACTTATGCCAGGTCCAAGCGAAGCCAAAACAAGCCAGATAAACCATTATCTTCGCCCTCTTGTAACCAAGCTAAACCAATTGTATTCTGGTGTTGCTATTCCAACAAACGAGTGCCCTTCTGGTACCTTGGTCTGTGCTGCAATTCATCTTGTTGCTTGTGACATCCCAGCCACAAGAAAAACATGTGGATTTACATTGCATGCCAGTACTAACGCATGTCATGTATGCAACCACCGGTTTTCTCATTGTTTGGATGGCAAGGGTATCAACCATTCCGGTTTCATATTCTCCAATTGGGTTTTCAATACTGAAGAAGAGAACAAAAGCAATGCAGAGAGATGGAGACAAGCTGGTAGCAATGCTGAAAGAGCAAGATTAGAGAAAGAGAATGGTGTCCGCTGGTCAGAGCTCCATTGGCTTCAATACTTCAATGCAGTCGAGTGTATCATCATAGATCTGATACATAACCTCTTCCTTGGCACGGCAAAAAGGATGATAGAGAAATGGAGAGAAGAGGGTCTTATTACCAGTGAGCACCTGGCCGAAATACAGCAAGACGCAGACAGTATGATAATTCCTCTCGGTATCACTCCATCGCATAACAAAATTGGAAAGGGCTTTCCATTCATGAAGGCAGAAAAATGGAAGTCCTGGTGTTTGGTTTACTCTCCCATTCTCCTGGCTGGTCGTTTACCATCCGAATACCTCTGTGACTGGATGGAGGTTGTTCACGCATGCAAGTACTTGGCAAGACCAAGTATAACTGTCGAAGACTTGTCACATGCGCATGATTTTTTGGAGTTGTTCGGTCAAAAGTGTCAGGTTAGGTTCAGGAAGGATTTCATATCGCCCAATATGCATCTACACCTGCATCTCAAAGAAACTGTTCTCAACTTTGGTCCTGTGTACGGGTACTGGCTCTTCAGCTTTGAGAGATAAAATGACGTATTAAAAAATTGTGCTACAAATAACAAAGATGGATTTGAAGGCATGTTCATGTGAAGATACCTTGAGAACATATGCAAGATAGATCTTTTCCATACAATAATGCAATCTCTCCAGACCCCCTCTCAAGTCTCTTTGATATATGAGCTCGTTGATTCATTTCCAACTCTTGTTACTGTCACTGCTGCTACCACTACCACTATTGTCCCCACTGTACCATACTTATCGACCACTTCTTCTGGTTTCAATCTGAAGACCTTCCTTGATTCCGCTGAAGTGAACATCGACAATGTCAAAGGCAATGAGCCATTGCCTCCGTCCACTTTCCCTCTTGGTCTTGGTGAGTTTGTGCAAATGCAAGAAGATGAGTACACCCATCTGCTCGAATACTATCGCACAGCATATTGTGATGCTTCACTGAGAGGTTACCGAGAAGCAATTTTTGGTCAACTTTTTGTGAACAACATGATTCAAAAGATGCAGTCAATAAATCTTCTTGGCCAGATGTATACACTCCGACAAGATAAAACATTGTCACTTCCCCAGAAATACACCTCTTTTTAGAGCACACCATTTTTCTTTTCCTTTTGCAGAACCTTTTCTTAAAACTAAATCACTCATGTCATCAAGAAATAAAAGAACCAGAAGCCCTTCAAAAAGATGTGAATTGTCAGAGTTTGAGCATGGTGGCATTATTTGGCTATATAAAACCAAAAATACCCCAACTGAGATTGCAAACCACATGGGTATCCCTAGAACGACAATCGACACCACTATCGAACGTTGGGAAGAAACTGGTACTGCAAAACCAAAGACCAGACCTGGGAGACCTAAGAAACTTAGTGTCACGGATGTTACAAGCCTTTGCTTGCGCGTGAGGCATAACCCTTTTGAGAGTTATGCATATCACCAAAGGAATATGGCAGCTGCAGGTGTCATTATCTGTAGAGACACAGTTATCCAATACCTTAAGACCAAAGGCTTTGGTTCTTACACCCCTGTTTCTAAGCCAAACTTAACCCATGAACAGAAGAAGAATCGGTTGTGTTGGGCCAAAGCTAGAGCCAGCTTTGGGATTGAGGACTGGAGTAGGGTGGTGTGGTCAGGTGAGTCAAGGTTTATGCTGAAGGGCAATGATTCTGACCCAGCCGTGATTTGTAAGCGAGGGGAGAGACACCAGGAACGTCATATACTAACAACAGAAAAGTATGGAAAGGGTTCCGTGATGGTGTGGGGTTGTTTCTGGGCTGGTGGTCTCAGACCATTATCATTTCTTGATGGGTCAGTAGACCAAGACGCATATGTCAATTGTTTGTCTATGGACTTCAATCCCTGGTATAAGAAATTGAATGATGAACAGGACACTATGTTTACATTCCAAGAAGACGGTGCTAGTTTCCATACTGAGTCTTATACAACATGGTGGAAAACCCATTGGGAAATTAAACATTTTGACTACTGACCATCACAAAGTCCAGATTTGAACCCCATTGAGCACATCTAGCATGCCCTAAAAGCCAATGTTCAAGAGAGAATGGTCTCTATAAACAATGTTGAAGAGCTCAAGGCTTGTATTTTTTAGGAGTGGGAGAGACTTGACCCAGAACTTCTTTGTACTCTTGTAGCAAGTATGCCGGATAGAGTTCAAGCAGTTATAAAGGCTTGTGGTAACCACACCACATATTAGACCCTATCTTATTTTTTTTATATCTATAATAAAACGAAGTTTCACTTTATTTAGTCGAGTTCTTTAGAAGATATAATGTAAAGAAGTTGATATGTAGTTTATTTGGGACTAGAAATCAAGGAATCTGACTGTGATTTATTTGGCGCAAGTGTATATATTCAACTCGTTTTATTTTTTGTCTTACAATGGCAGAGACAGAAGGCGAAGTATGTTGGTTGGAAATGTTTCTATTCTCCAGTTGGCTCTGGAGAGCAGTAATCTCCAAATTCAAATCTTCGATGCTTGTCTTCATTTTGAGCTTCAACTCTTCGATCTGTGCCTTCATTTCAAGTTTGGCCTTTTCTTGGCCTGCCTTCAAAGATAGTATCTCATTGTACATGGCATGTAGCAAAGAGATGGAATTGTTATCTGTGTTATTCATATTGAGAGCTTGGTTTACCTGAGAAAAAGGATTGTTGTGAAAGAAAAAAAAGGCCGAAAAAAATTTCTATTGTCTATTATTAGTCTCATATAAATGAGTTTAACCTATTGGTCCAGCCAATATTATTATTGGGCTACTGTAGTTCTAATAACAGCTATTACGCAAAGTTTTAGCTTCTGTTCCTGAGTTTATATTTGTATCATCTATGTCATTGCCTACTTGTAGTTATTAAGTCTATACAAATCTCAATGCTATTAAGTATAAAGGCGTATTATTTAAAAGAAATTATCAATATTTATATCTTTATTCTTAAGTGTTTGTTTCCAATCTAAAAAATGACTTCAAATTCAATCCTTGATAGTTACCAATACAATCAATGCAAAGAGCGCCACACCAATTTAAAAAAAGCCAAGAGTTGTAGAGCTCAATGCTTTAAGAACTGTCATAGAAAACATAATGATATCCAAACATCACAGACCACGCCTGTTCCTGGACAAGTCAGTGTTGTTTTTAACACTGTCTCGAACAACACTATTGAGTAAGACTACAAATCACATACATACTATTAGAAAGTGTAATTAATTATATTGTTACCTTCATAAACAAGCAGAGAGCGTGCTGATGCAATCGAAGATCAGATCATGGATACATTCAACAGCAAAGATAACAATGATTTAATTATGAATATCTTCAGTAATGATGATAATGATGAGTCTATAGTAAGATATATATATATATATATACATGTCTTATTATATAATGCTAATTATTATTTACCTTGTTAAAGTATGATGCAGAACTTGGCAACAACATGGATATCATTGAAAACAAAACATGTCCTTTGGTTTTTGACTTCAGTCAGCCTGCACCTACCTCTGACAAAGACGATGCAAAGAACCTTGAGTTTCTCAAGATCATTAAGGATTTTGATATCTCCTGCAATGCCCATGAAATGATAGTCAAGCATTTCAACAGCATTTTGGAAACGTCGACTTGTATTACATACAGAGCATATACTCCTCATCTCGGCAAAAAGCTTTTGAAGTGTTTCTCTGGTGTTGAAGAGACAGTTCATGATATCTGTCAGAGGGGATGTATGCTCTTTACCAGTCCATCCCAGAGTGAGTGCTCCAACTGTAGACAAAGTCGGTACAAAACAAGACGTGGAGAAACCAAGGGTGGTGATCTGGTTCCTACTGCCATGATGATACAGCTTCCATTGGCAAGACAACTGGCTCTTGCGTTAGCCAATGAGAATATAAGAGCAGATATGCATTACCACCATAATCATGAGTCGAGCTTGGATGGAAGTAAAACCAATGTGTTTGATGGCCAGGTTTACCAGCAAGCAAAACATCTGTTTTCCAGAAAAGATGACATTGCAATTTCGTTGGCTGTTGATAGATTCACGCCACACAATGTTCCTGGTTCTGTAACGATCCTTCATGCCACCATTCTTAATCTGAATCCCATGGTTCAGTATGAGAGAAGCAGAATGCTCCAGATCGCAATGATTCCAGGTCCAGGCGCACCTGCCAATTTCTGGTTGTTCATGGAATCAACGATGAAAGAGCTCCTGGTGTTGGAGAGCAAAGGGATGGTCATCAAGACACCAAACGAGACCATTCGTGCAAGGTATATGTCTTAATGGTCACTGGTGACATTCCCGCCTTAGCAAAGTTGGCATGTCATTCTGGACATATGAGCAAAGACGGTTGCCATATCTGTTATGTTGTCAGCCAATGTCCCAAGCACGGACAATATTTCAGAACTTTGCCCAGCACCAATATTTGTATGCTGGAAAGTTTCCAGAATTTTTCCCAGGCCAGTGTATCCAGCCGCAAAGGGTTAAACAGACAATCCCCCCAGCAACATTGAAGGTATTCTCTGGACCATTGTTTTTTGTCCTCGATGAGATGTATGGACTTTGCCATGGAATAAGCAAGCAGGTCTGGGGTTTGGTTTCTGGTACCTATGGAACAGACCATTGTTTTGCTCTTTCTTCTGGTGTTTGGAAGGAGATTGGTACAGCAATGTACAAAACAAGAAATATCATCCCTACATCCTTCCATGGCAATTGAAGGGATGTATACAAGAACCCTGGGTCGTTCAAGGCTGTTGATTGGGCAGACTTTCTTCTGTTCGTCGTCCCTACACTGGTGGCAGAGCGTATTGGAGATGCAACTGCTTGGAATGCGTTACTTGGCTTGGTTCAAGCATGTAACCTACTCATGAGCTGGGAGTTATTAGCAGAGAAACAAACCTCTATCAAAAGGTATATTTTAGTAAAAGCTATGTGTTATTCTATTATTTATTCTAACTATTTTTCTTCAGTAAACTTGAAATATAGAACATGTACCTGAAATTTCTGCTTACAAGTGGAAAAATCAAAATCAATATTTTCACTATAAACCAGCATCTTCTTCAGCACTATCCTCTCATAATTGACGCATATGGCCCACCTCATACATATAGCGCCAGATCCATGGAACGGGCAATTGGTGAATACTCAAGGGCTATTAAGAGTAATTCTGCTATAAATGTTAACACTGGCAATATCATGCTTGGCTTAGCACAAATACACTGACCTTGAATAAGTTTACATATATTACCAAAAAGAAAATTTTGAGAAAAAGCATCTATTGTTGTTTTTATTTATTTTTTCATTCTTTTTCTCAATCAAATCTTCTCATGTCTTCTAAAATTACTAAACAATCTCGTAAAAAGAGTCCAAAACTTTCAGATTACATAAAAGGCAAGATTGTGGGTGCTTATGACTTTGGAATTCCCATGGCTAAGATTGCGTGCAAGTATGAGCTACCCTACACAACAGTGACAACAACCATTGAGAGAGTGAAGAAAACGGGTACTTCCCTTACCAAAAAACGTGAAAGGAGACCTGTTCTCTTGAATGATCGTGATTTGAGAGCTCTGAGAAATATTGCGCGCAATGACCCAACTGCAACATTTGACGTGATTACAGCTGAAATTCAGGAATCTTCAGGTGTACCCATCAAGAGGGATGCTGTTTGTAATTCCTTAAAAAAGATTGGTTTACACTCTTGTGTTGCTGCAATGAAGCATTTGCTAAAGGAAAGGCACATAAAAAACAGGTTAAAGTTTGCAAGAGATGCTCATCATCACAAGCAACAGTGGAATTGGGTAGTCTGGAGTGATGAGTCCAGATTCATGGTCTATCCAAGGGCAGGAAATGTGCGTGTTTGGTGCACTCCAGCACAGAAATATAGAAGAGGCTATGTACATCCAAGAGTACAAGGCAGAGGAGGCTCAGTGATGGTCTGGGGGTGCATTTGAGCTGGTGGAGTGGGAAAACTTGTAATTGTCGATGGCATGCTAAATCAGACGAAGTACATAAGACTCTTACGACTTCATTTTATGCCCTGGTTTCGATGCCTTAAGTAAAGGAAAGATGGCGAGTTCATTTTCCAAGAAGATAATACACCCTGCCATAAAGGTATTTTGGCAAAAGAATACAAAGAAGAGGTGAATCTGCCAGTGATGACATGGCCAGCAAACAGCCCTGATCTGAGCCCAATAGAAAACATTTGGGCATACTTGGAACGCCAGCTGAGAGCTAGAAGGGTAAAGCCAACAAATTTATACTTGTTGGCCAGAGCTCTTCAAGAAGAATGGAAAAAAATACTGAAGAAAGTAGTGAAAGCACATTGCATGTCAATGCCAAATCGAATCAAAGAACTTAGAAAAAATAATGGATTCCATACCCACTATTAAACTTTCTAATAAATTACATATACCTATTTACATAGCTAATATATATTATTCATAATTATTTCAGAGCTCTAGCTATACGTTAAAATGATAAAAAGATGTAAAGAAGTTATATATTTTCATTAAAAAAAATTGGGATTTTAAAAAATACTTAAATTAAATATGGGTCAGTGTACAAGAAGCAGAGGCCAGAGCCACTGTCATGATTACAGAAGCAAGAACAGCACAACACTTATAATATGAAGATTCCACTGCTGGTTGGCCATTGACAGATGAGGGTGGGCGTGTTGGTGCTGGGTCTGATATTGAGTTCTGGGGGCCTTTGAGGAATAAAACGATCCAAGATAGTTTTGAAGGCATTTCTTGTCTTTCAAAACTTCTTGAAGACTTCTACAAATCAAAGGGAAAAGAGTGTAGTATGATTGAAGCAGCTATACAAACTAGCCGCAAGGCATTTGTCAATGGTTGTGTAAGGGAGGCACATAACATCAGATTACAGATTCAGGTTGATGAAAATCGCAACATAAATTCTGCATACTCCCCAGTTTATAAGGATTTCTTTGGAAAAGTTATTGTCTTCTTTGAGCACAAACTCAACAATAAGAGGTGGCCGCTTGCTCTTGTAGAGATTGCGGCAGTCCGTTTGGTAAATGGTATACCAGTTGCTAACATTGGGCAAATGAAACCAAAGGTAGTTTACCTGGCAGATGTCAAAGAATTGGTTGGTTTGGTGAAGTCGAACGCAACTATAAATATAACAACAACAACAACAACAACAACATATATACATAGTGTGGCCTGTTATGTATGAGGTAAAAATAAGATATAAAATAAAGCAAGTGCAGACGAGAGTATGGTGAGATTTTGTTTTATTAGAAGAAGTGCAAGAATCAGAAAAGAGATGCTGTTCTATTGCTATTAGTATTGTGCGTTTATATAGACATTGTATTTAGCTTGGTGATGATGTGATGATATCATGTAATGTCTGTTTCTCTACCATTATCTTCTATGATTTAGTTGTTATGTTTTTAGTGTTATTGACTAGAGTCTTAGTATTTGTCTTAGTATGTTCTTTACGTAATTTCCTTGTATAAGGGAAGGTATATCTTTTAGTATTGTTACTAGTTGTCGGTAACTCAATGTACGTATTTATTGAGTGTCTGTACTTTTAATTTAAATCTACGATTATGTTGGATACAACATGGCCATTGCTTAACTGTGGCCCAAAATTGTCACTTGGTTCTCTTGCAGACCTATAATTTGTTTTTTTTTGTAATACATTTTTTTTTCAAATTGTCTTAACATATTTTATTCTCTCAGCAAAAAGTTTAGATATTTTCTTCTCTTTTACCTCTGACTTTTAATAGTCATCAATTGCAATCTACATTTACTAAAGATGTAAAGTCTGTAGTTAAAGCTTACTTTTGTCTATCAGGAGATTTAATTTTAGGTGGTCAATTTGCTTTTTGTCAACCTTTTCAAAAAACAGAGATTTTCTAGTTTCAAATTAGATTTTTAGTGATTTTTTAATTATTATAAGCCGAAAACATAGTCACAAAAGCAAAAAACCGTCATTTTTTCTTGTAGTGATAGTAAAAATAGAATAATGAGTAATCGATATGGCAAGGAGAAAATATATGAATAAAGATATAGTAAAATTATAATCATTATGGGAAAAAGATGGATTTTTTCGAATTTGTGACTTCATTTCTGGCCTATAATAATCAAAAAATTACCAAAAATCCAAGTTGAAATAAGAAAATCTCTGTTCTTTGAATTGGTTATAAAAAGCAAGTGAACCACCAAAATTTAGATCTCAGAAGAGACAAATATCTATTTTAACTACAGATGTTACGTTTATGGTAAGTATATAGAGCAATTGAGAAATATTTGATGTCAGATATAAAAAGAAAGAAAATATCTAAGCTTTTGTTACTTGAATAAAATTTGTAAAGACAATTCAAAGGCACACTAAAAAAAAAAAATAATGAACCATATGTCATCATTGTAAAATTACTATTTTGATATTTCATATCAATAACTAACCAATACATTTGTAGAAAATATATGACACTACTGGTTTTATCCATTCAATTGGCGCCCATTTCCATCTAATTAGCATCCGTTTCCATCTAATTAGAACCCATTGACATCTGATTGGCTTCCATAGAAATTGAATTTGCGTCCATTGCCAACTGAATTTGCTCCCATTGCCATCTGAATTTGCTCCCCCCCTTTTACTATTGGCGGAAGGGTACATGGCACTCAATTTTTTTATCCTTGCGCCTTACAATTTTTTTTATATAACCATAGTATTTTTTTTTGTAAACGTCGTACTTTTTTTTGTAAACGTTGTACTTTTTTTTTGTAAACGTCGTATTTTTTTTTGTAAACGTTGAATTTTTTTTATATAACCGTAGTATTTTTTTTTGTAAACGTTGTATTTTTTTTTATATAACCGTAGTATTTTTTTTGTAAACGTAGTATTTTTTTTATATAACTGCCATATTTTTTTATATAAGTGCCAAACGCCTAATGTAATAGCACTTCAATATATGTAGATCTTTCTACAAAGATACGTCATAGAAAATATCTATAGAGAGAACTAACAGAATATGCAAACTTTTCTCCAGATTACTTTGTTAAAGTTAAATACCTTACTGCAGTTATAAGATAATAAAGCAAGTATCTCATTATAATAATTATGTTAAAATTGAAAATGCAATGATATTATTTGTATTCTTTCTTTATTGCAAAGTAAGTTTCAAATAAAAGATTCATTTTTTCGTCACTTGTAGCCTCCTTGTTGTTTTTAATGAAAAAAACAACTGGAGACTTTCTCCACTTCAAAATATAGCCACCAGCAGTTGTTTGTTTCATATTTACTATCTTGCTGGCTTTTTCAATAGTTAATCCCCTTATGAAGTAGAGATAAAGAAGCTTTTTTATATCTTTATCCGTAGGCTTTTGATATTGCCCTCTACTTTTTTTGGGGGTTTCATCTGTTGTTGACGGGGCAGAAGTTTTTGGATCTTCTGGCATTTCAGGCTCTTCAAGCTCTTTCATGATTTTTTCAAAGGCACTGTTATATTCTTCAAGTTTTTCGTGTAACATTGTAGGGTTTTCTGATAATAAAAGGTGAAAAAATAAAGAAATAGGAAGATATGTTAAAGTGACATATTTTATATAAATATAGTTATATCTAGCACATAGCAGTTATAATTAAATAGTAATTACTTAAGATGCAAGATAAAAATCAGAACACAAGTTGAAGCAGCAAGAATAGATGTAAAGAAGATTGAGTTGTTGTTAAATAGTATTAGTCATTATATTTTCAGCTTTTTATATCAAAAAATAATATTCTAAGGTCCACTAAATAAAGTAGTACAAATTGAACTCAAGGAGATAAAAAATAAATAGGACAATATATTACCCGCAGCCATAAATTTATTATAAACATTCTTTTTTAAAAGAGATATCATAATTCTCTCTCTTTCCATTTGGTGTTTATATACCAAAACTGTTTATTTCTCTTCTTAAATCAGCAATAAATCTCATTCTCATGCTCACTTCAACAACTAAATATTACTCTGACAATGAAAACACTGCCTAAAGCTCTACACCTCATGGATTTTTTTATTATTTCCAGATCACATTATGCTTCTGTATGTAAATAAAGCCTATACCTCGGAGTCATTGATATTAATCTCTAAATAATCTATAGTATTTGGAACAAAAGCTATAAATCTGAAAAGAAAACATGACGATTCAACCCTCCACCTACAAAGAAACTACAAGATCAAACATCTACCTGTACGATAAGAACCAGTCTACACATATTCATAATGCTTTTAAGTGCATTTCACCAACTATACTTTTTCGAAATCCAACAGTAGAATTCACTCTACCGACCACACAAAAACTTGTCAATTTTTATCTCAAATATCCAGTAATCTGATTGACTATCACAGCAATTGTATTTCTTATGAACCTGGTCCTACACAAGCATCTAATACCATTACAAAAAACAATCCAAAAATGCTATATTTATTCAGCACCTGCTCCAACCATTTTACAATGTCAGAATCCTGATCTTCTTAATATCAAACTCAACAACTCTTTGTAATCTGCACTCAAAACAAGTAAATGTCCAACAATCTGTTAAACAACTGAAAGCAGTCCAAGAATTATGCTTTGCTCACAATACTACCCGATCTCAATTTTGGAAACCCTCATGATACAAAATACCAAAAAAAAACCAAATATTACACATACAAAAACAGTAACAAAAAATAGCACAAGCTCATGACAAAAAAAAGAAATAAAAAAAGAGATGAAAAAAAAAGAGATGAAAAAATAAAAAAAATAAAAAAAAGAAATAAAAAAAGAGATGAAAAAAAAAAGAGATGAAAAAATAAAAAAAAATAAAAAAAAAGAAATAAAAAAAAAATAAAAAAAAAGAAATAAAAAAAAAAATAAAAAAAAATAAAAAAAAGAAATAAAAAAAAAAGAAATAAAAAAAAAGAAAAAAAAAGAGAAATAAAAAAAGAAAAATGTAATAGCAATTTTAAAAATAATTCTCCAAATAGTATAACTAGCATTTTTATTCATAAATTTTTATAATATACATAACCATTTTTTCGCAAATAATTTCTGAAAAACTGAAAGTCTCAATAACTGAAAATAAAATGATATCTTACTGCAAGAAATTTCTGAAAAACTGAAAAACTGAAAAACTGAAAGTCTCAATAACTGAAAAAATGAAAGTCTCAATAACTGAAAAACTGAAAATCTTAATAACTGAAAATAAAATGGTATCTAACCGCAGAAATTTCTGAAAAACTGAAAATCTCAATAACTGAATTTCGAGCTTTTCCTTGGCTCTATACAAAAAAAAACTTTTTTTTTTTATTTTTTTTTTTGGTTGGGCAAACCTATGAGGAGAAATCCCACCCCTTCCTTCGAGACAGAGGACAGGACACCATAAAGGCTCTGGTAGCACTGTAAATCGGCTAATAAAATAAATGTTCTTAAAAGTGTAAAGAAGCTTAATATGTAAACATTCATTATTCTTCAACACGTTCTTTATCCAAATATATTAAGACAACAGGACAAGACTATACCTTGGTAGAAATGTTTAAGTTATTAAAATATATTTTTTTTTGGTATATATACCCCAGTGTCTTAATAAAAGTTTCTCAGTTATCTTTCTTCCTCGATTTTAACACCCTTTTTATTTTCAAAAAAAATGCCTACTTCCAACAACTCCCTCGAATTTGTTATGGGCAAGCACTGTGAAATGGTCAGTCACAGCGGTTCTGCAGACCAAACCCAGTTTTCTGGAATTGCTTTTGACCCCTTGTGCAATTTCAACCAAGAGATTGTCGATGAAATGCATGGAGAAGTTGTACTCCGATCTGTGACAGATGTCTTTGTCAACCATGCCAATATGGAATGGACCTGTACCTCGGCCGGAAACCCAGTAGTCACAAACCTCCTCAGTCTCAAAAGTTTCCTGCCAACCAAAGTCAACGAGGCCACCACCAAAACCATTGTTGCACAGAAGCCAAAGACGAATCTGCCGGAGAAGGTCGATCCTGATTCTGTTCCCACTGCAGAAAGCATAGGTCGAGGTTCGTACCGAAAGTACAACCAAAACCAGGTGAACAAGCTCTTCTCCTTGGTTTTCTCAGAAAACCAGACTGCTGCTGCCGCTGCCAGGGAAACGGGGATCAATGTCTGGACTGCCCAGAACTACGTCAGGCTGGCCAGAGAGAAGATCCAAGCCGATTTTGATGCTGCCACAGTGGAGACTGATGAGTCCAATGGGCTGGAGACGATGGAGGTTGAGGAGGTTTCTGCGCCTAAAGAACGAAAACATGGCAACCAAAAGTTGTTCCAGGCGCACTCTGCTTTTTTTTTGAAGTTTTTCGAAAATAAACCAGATGCTACCTTGGAACAAGCAAGGATAGCTGTCATGGAAGAGTTCTCTGGGCTGCAGATTACCAAATCAGCAATCCAGAAGCACTTGGTGAAGAAGTGTGCCCTGAGGATGAAGAAGTTGGAGAAGCTGCCTGAGAAGAGAGACGACGTCAACACAATTGAGATGAGACGAGACCACATTTTGGAGTGGCAACAACTTGCGGATTTCAACTATCTGTCGAACTGTGTGTTCATTGATGAAGCAGGCTTCAACATGCACATCAAGAGAACTTTTGGCCGTTCCGTCAGTGGCACCCCGGCTAAGACAACTGTCCTGACGCAGAGAGGTGTGTCCATCACCATCCTTGGTGCAATGTGCGAGAGAGGGATTGTCAGCCTCTCGTTGAAGAAACCCACTGCAGTCGCAACCAAGAAGAAGAGAAAGTTGGACATCTACACCAACGTTGAGGTGAACGGCCGAATTGGCACCAGAACCCAGCACTACCTCGACTTTCTTAGTCATACAATGGACGTTCTGGACAGCCAGGGTATGCAAGGACGTTATCTCATCATGGATAACGCTCCTATCCATAAGGCCGATGAGGTGAAAGACTTTATTTCTTCCCGTGGGTACAAGTGTGCATATCTTCCTGTGTATTCACCTTTCCTGAATCCAATTGAGGAAATGTGGTCCAAGATCAAGTTTGGTGTCCGCAGAGAAGAGATTACAGAGTCAGACAGGCTCATCTTAAGGATTACAGAATCAGCTAAGACTGTCACCCTTTCGGACTGTTTGGGTTGGATTAACCATGCCATTTCATTCTTTCCTCACTGTTTGAACAGAGAGCGAAAGCTTTAAGTATGTCTTTTATGTCTATTTAAGCTCTTTACACTCTATGTCTTTTTTTATTTTATTTTTATTTTTTACTACTTTATGTCCCTCTTTTTCTTATTTTTTTTTATTACTTTATATCCCTCTTTTTCTTATTTTTTTTTACCACTTTATGTCCCTCTTTTTTTATTTATTTTACTGCTTTATGCTTTTCTTTTTTTATTACTTTGTATTTCATTATATCTTACTTCTTATTATGTGTTCTATTTCTCTATCAACTAATTATGCCTAATAAAAATATCCATGTTTTATGCCAAAAAAATACTACGGTTATATAAAAAAAATTCGACGTTTACAAAAAAAAATACGACGTTTACAAAAAAAAAGTACAACGTTTACAAAAAAAAGTACAACGTTTACAAAAAAAAGTACAACGTTTACAAAAAAAAATACTACGGTTATATAAAAAAAATTGTAAGGCGTAAGGATAAAAAAATTGAGTGCCATGTACCCTTCCGCCAATAGTAAAAGGGGGGAGCAAATTCAGTAGGCAATGGACGCAAATTCAATTTCTATGGAAGCCAATCAGATGTCAATGGGTTCTAATTAGATGGAAACGGATGCTAATTAGATGGAAATGGGCGCCAATTGAATGGATAAAACCAGTAATAATTACTTGTGAATTTTTTGCTTGCTCTTCTCTGTCTTCATAACAAACTCTTACATCTGGTTTTAATATCATCATTATAAATAATACAGGTACAAAAATCATCCAGTTACTTAAAAATACGTAAGAGATGCTTCATATTTTGCAGAAAATCTAAGAAACACTATAAAAGAAACAAGTGATTCTATAACTAGAGATTATCGAACTATGTAATGTTAAAAATGGATGCACATGTGAGAGGCCAACCTCAGACTGTGATGTAAGAAATAATAAAACAAAAAAAGATATGTAAACTAATATAAAGCAATACAGGCTTTTGCTGTCCCAATTCCAGAATCATTGTCTGTATTAAAACTATAACTTTAAAATATAACTTTAGAATGATGAGTCAGGATCTTAAGGCTTAACTTAACAAGAAAAAACCAAAACAATTATTAACTCTTACACATGTCTTATATGTGATAAAATGACTGTAAATCTTTCTGTACAAGCTTTAGAAGCAAATCCAGATAGAATGCCTATCTCTTGAGATGAGAAGGACTTGATGTGTGTCAAACATATATGCTCTCTCAAACAAAGTGATGTTGACCATACCAGATGTCACAAAAGCTGGACATCTCTTCCAAAGGTCAGTCATATATGGAAAAACCATGTGAAGCAACAACCTTGTAGTAAGTTTATGTTTGGTAAGTTTAATGAATTATATATTAAATATGAAGATATGAAATAATCTGAATGATATTTAGCTAATGATATTTAGAAAAGACTTTTATTATTATAACAACCAATAAAAACATTTTTAAATATCAATCTTCTATGAAATAAAATCTTTTTTCCCAATTAAAGCTGTAAATGAAACAGAATATATATAAATGGGGGTAAAATGAAATAATACTTTTGTTGAAATAATCAATAATATCAATTTCCATACTGTAATAAAGTCTCAATTATCCAATTAAAAATAATAATATGACTAAAGTATTTTCTGAGTGCCCATATAAAGAGAAATCTCTCTTATTACTACCAATAGAAAACTCTTTTTATACTATTTCTATCAATAGAGTGAGAAAAATTAATATATAAACTAAAAAATCAGTTTTTGAATAGAATCTAACATTTGTTAGTCAACGGAGATCTAATTATATTTGCAAAAATAGGGGTGGTCTTTTTGCTGGTTTTATCAAAACTTTCACTCAAAAGACCACTCAAAAACTACCTAAAATATCACCAAAAAGACCACTTTTTTCCTGTAGTAAATAATAAAAGTACTGATGTTGTGTAGAGATATCAGCAAGATAAATTGTGTACATTGTAGAAGAGGAATGTTACTAGCATAGGTGACTATGATTTCAAATAAGTACAATGTGGACATATATGTTAACAAGGGAAAAAGAAAAAATATTATATGTAAAAGGAACAGGGAATGGAAACAAGATTTTTCCTGTGCACAAAAAAATCTCCTCTTACCACCGAGGGCACAGCACTATGTCAACAAACTGTTGACATCAGCCTCTCATAACCAGGATGACACGTCACAACAAACCACTGGACAAACCCACTGAGCAGACTGACCTTCCAGTACAGAACACCATGACATGGCCAAAAGCCGGACTTGTTTCCTCTACACATGTCAAAAGTGTCATAGCTGGCAAGCCGGAGCTTAAACAAAAGAGGTGGTTCAAACCAATTGTTCCAAAAAGAGGAAAGGGCAAACGAACCTCTTTTTGTAATTAATTACTTTGAACCTCACTCACATTCTCATATAGCAGAAACAATAATTCAATTAACATTCTTACAGATGAGGCATCATATCAAATAAGACCTCAAGACAAACATTCCAAATAATTAGTATAAATATCAATAGCAATTGTTCATAATAAAATCATCTTTTATCTACTATATTATTTTGTCTGTTTGCTCGTACTTCTTTAAGTATACTTCTTTATTATCAAGTATACTTCTTTACCTGTTTTTATATTGCCTGGCTATTGATTTGTCAGCTTAGCGCAATCTAATAAAAGCATCTATGCCCGGCTAGCTCAGGTTAAAGATTATGTTTTATTAAAGAGATATGTTGCTGGCAATCTATAGATCATATAGCATCTCAAGTACAAAAGAAAAAGCAAAAAAAGTCCAAAAGGATCACAAAAAGACAAAAAATAGAAAGAGAAGAAGAGAACTAACACTAATAAGCTGAAAGTTGTACCTTACTCTCCACTTTGCAGCTGTATAAAAATGCTGTAGCAGTGAAAGGGAGGAGATAGGAGTTCAAGCAAGTAGCCGTTTATGTGTGAAAAGATAAAAAGTGAAAGAAAATTAGATAGGAAAGAAAAAAAGACAAAAAAATGAAAATGAAAATGAAAAAGAAGAAAAAAGAAAACTAGCTAAGTCCAGCTCAAAGAGTACCAAAGTGAGTTTCATGAGTGTAGTCACCATCAGGATTACAAAGCTTGTCAAAATGTCAGAGAATAGTAAGTAGTGCTACCCAATAAGAGGGGCAAGGAGCCTGACTAGAATTTGGGAGAGCAGTAATAGCAAAATCAATTGGATTACAGTTTTGATTAGATGGAATAGGAAGACAGGCCAACAAATGGGCAGGAACTAAAGAGCAGACAGCAAGATGACGACGTGAGGTATGGTCAGTACCACAAGGGCAATCCTTAGGAGTGCCAGGTAACCAACCCATTCTCCAGCAGACAAGGCGGCTACGTTCCACCCTAGTTGCAGGCAAGAACAGAATAGGATCTACTTCCAAAAGAGGGCGGCATGCTAAGAATAAGACTTGGTTTGAAGACAATCGAAGCTCATCAGTTTTGAATTGTTGGAAGGTCTCAAAGTGACGTTTCAGAGCTTTGCTACTATGAACATTTAAGTCAATAGGGATGCTTTGAAGGAGAGTATTATGACAAAGAGTGACAAGTGATGAAGACTGAGAGTAATGATGGTGAAGAAGAGACAAGAGGCAGCCAGAGGGAAGGTAGTGAGCACGGATACAAAACTTGGTTATCAGCACATCAGCTCAAAAACTCATACTAGGAAGGAGACACATATGCTTGAGAACAGTGGTAGATGAGGTTTGGTGCCCACCAACTATTATGCACAAACATTTATCTTGGATCTTCTCAAGCTGGATAGTATCAGTTCTTTTCAGAGGGAGAATAGCCAATCCATATTCAAATTTTGGTCTGATAAAGGTCCTATACAGACGAGAGCTGAGAAGCAGAGAGAATCCAGACCAGCATACTCCAACTGCATTCAGCATTGCCATGGTTGCCAGGACTCCAGAACGATGATGAGTGACAATAGAAGGCTCATGAATACCTTTATTGCAAAAGAGAACACCAAGATATATAAATTCCTCCACTGCAGGAAGAATCTCATCATATAGAGATAGATCTGGATGGTTTGCAGAACGAGAAGGAGGGTAAATGATAGTACATTTAGATGGACTCTAACAAAAACCAAGAGTAAATGAGTGTTGGGCAGCCAAATGGAGCATAGCCTGAACGTCATGAGCAGAACCAAATATTGCCACATCATCAGCAAAAAGAAGTGTATTTATTGGCATTGATGAGACTGCATGCTGGTAGCCATTCACATCTGGAGGAGCAAGAAGAGACTGGTATGCATCTAATGAGGAGGGAGACGATGATGGCACATGGGTAGAAGTGAGAGGAGATGCAACTGAGCAAAGAAGAGCTGGCAGGGAGTTGATGTAAATAGAGTATAGATGCAGCCTGAGAACTGAACCTTGAAGCACGCCTGTTTTTGGTGAAAATGAATGTGAGGAGAAATTGCCAAGAAGAACGGAGATAGACACATTATCAAACATGTTGACCAAAAGTCCAAGAAGAGCAGGTGATATGGATCATCTGACAAGGGCATTCCAAATGACACGTCTATCCACAGTGTCATAGGCAGCTTTAATATCCAAGAAAGCAACAATTGGATAGTGGTGATGACGATGAAAATGAGCTTTCATCAGGTCATGCAGACAGAGAGCTTGGTCAAGAGCACCACAGCGAAGACGAAATCTACCTTGGGCAACATCCAGAGGAGGAGAGAACTTATGCAACTCAGGAGCTATGCACATCTCAAACAACTTGCGCACCACAGAAGTAAGGGAGATGGGACGGTAGTTTGTTGCATCCAAAGGGTCTCCCTTCTTAAAGATTGGAAACACTTGGGTGTGGCGCCAGAGAGAAGGGGTGTATGACCATTGCCAGCAGATAGTAAAGAGACAGGCAAGAAGAGGTAAGATGTGAGACAGAATGGGCTTTAGCATTTCTGCACGGATGTGGTCAGGACCCGGCACCTTGCAGTTAGACATAAATTGCATGAAGGTCTCCACTACTGATGAGATAAATGGGGAGTCAACAGAGGCAAAAGGCATGAGAGAGGTGTTGAGTGGTAGTAGTGAAGGTCAAATGTCAGAAAGAATATGTCCACTATAGACAGATGCAAGATAGTCACACATAACTGTTGCTGCGACTGCTAGGCCATCATCATGCTGAAATGTATGTTGTGGTTGTCTGTGCCGTTTCAACTGCTTTATCTTAGATGTGGCCTTGTTGAAATCCGAGTTCATTGAGCGACAAAAAGCATGCCAAGACAAATGCTTTGCTGTCTGAACTTGCTGACGGAACTCCTTGTGTGCATGCTGGTGCCGGCTCCACCAATTGATCTTGTCAATGCCACAAGCTCAACGCCATTGCTTGTAACAATCATCTCTATGGTCGGCTGCAGCTTGCAATGCAGGGGTCCAAAACGATTTCCAATGTGAGGGGCAAGGGGTGTGAGAACCAATTGAGCTACTAAGAGAGTCATACATGAGTGCATTGAAAGAGTTAGTAAGAGCATCAATGGGTGGACATAGGGTTGGCGGATTCTGGACAAGGTCTTGCAGTATAGTGAGAAGGGGGCGGATTTGGTGACAAAGGTGGTGACATATAATGATCTGACATTATCTTCATAAAGACGTGACAGATTCCAAGTTTGGCGCATAGGTGGAGGTGCTGGTGGTGAGTGTTGCAGATCATAAGTAAAGGGAAGTGAGAGAAGTCAGTGATCAGAGCCTAAAGATAGTTTGGTTGCAATGTGTAAAGAAGGGTTGGCAAAGTTGGTGTTGGTGATGAAAAGGTCAATGATGCTGCTGATTTCAACTTCGTTACAAAAGGAAATGTATGTGGGTGTGCATGGTGAGAAAACTCCATTGAGGACAGTTAAAAATCGTTCTTCAAGCCATTGCTCTAAAGCTACACCATGAGGGTTATATGTATAGTCACCAGTTACTGAACCAAGGTGTGCATTAAAATCTCCACATATAATAGTATCATCAGTCAAAGGAATGGCTGAGAGGATATCAAGAGCTTCATGAGTGGGCATAGAGGGTGGTAAGTAAAGGCATATAAGTTGAAGGGTGCCTATCTTGACAGCAAGAGCATAGTTGTTGGGCATAGGTATTTGAGTGACAGCATAAGGACATGAAGGAAAGACTAACAATGACACCCCCTTTGATCCGCGGTAGTTGCCAGCAACACAAGATCCATAGAGATGATATTGAGACCATGAGGTTGGAAGATGGGCTGGGGATAGAAGCCATGTTTTGGTGATAAGCAGCATATAAAGAGATTGACAGTGGTTGAGCACGTCTTTGATTGCACGAGGTTGAAGTCTATTGGCATTCCATAATCCTATTGAAAGAACATTCATTCTATCATAGCAGTGAGAGCATCAAGAGCACATTTTTTATTTGGAGCATCACCAAAGTTTTCAGCTATAGGACAGGCAGGAATTTCCTCAATACTAATCCATCCTGATTGGACAAAGAAGTGTGCAACTGGGAGAACAAGATGAGGATACAGAAACTTAAGAGCCTGAATGCAGTTAGCATTTTGAAGAACCAAGGCCTGGGTTTCTAGACCAGAAAGAGACAGATTGGCAAACTTGGGATCAGCAACATTCTTGGGGTCAAGTGGATCAAAGTTGTTGACAAGAGAGACCTTGGCTTGAGCTAATTATGACTTAAAGTCCTCAAGATACTGCATATAAACAAGAATTCCAATCACTCCATGAGCAGGGAAGTTAATGTCTAATAGACGGCTAGTGTCAACACCAAGAGTGCAGAGAGAACGGCACACTTCACTGTGTGTAATTTGGCGTGAACAAGAAATATAAACATATTCAAACACTGCAAAAGATAACTGATTTAAGTAGCTTAATTTTTGTTTAAATCCTCCAAAAATTGGTGGTTTATGTTCAATTATAGTTCGGTATTTGTTACAAAAATTGGTTCATTTAGTTAACCAAATGATGAGATTATAGATACTAAAATCAATAGATAAATTGAGAGTTATAATTCCCCCTTTTCTTGAAATGTTATAATTATCTGTAATTCTGGTTATATATTCACCCATAACTTCAAACCGTACCTAAACCCTACTTGTTATGGAATTGGCTTTGAACTCTCTACCTCTTAAAAGAATTTATTTGCTTTAATTACATGATATTATTGGATAGACCTCACTAAAATCGACCTAGAATCAGTCTGAAATCTGACAGGAACCAGTATTCAAATGAATGATTGTAAAAAAAAACTTAAATAGATCTTGTTGACATCATCAAGAGATGACACATTTGAAATAGAATCTCATAGAAAAAATGGTTTTTATTGATTTTTGAATGGTTGGAAAATATATTTAGCTATTTTATATGGACCACTAATACTTCTTTAAAAGTGTGTATCCGAATAGTACGACTTGTATACATGTTATACTTTCATTTATTGGACGGCTTGAATACATTGGATGACCTAACTTATACTATACTTCCCTACCTTATCGGTTTCATGTATTTGGCGCGTTTTTTGGTTTTACACTTCTTTAACTGAAAATGAAATCCTTGGTATTTTCTTGGAGAATACGTTTGTTTGGAACTACATTAGCTTAGAGCAAAAAAAGATACAGAAGTATTAATACAGGTTTCTTTATGAAATAAAATGAAATAACATACTTACTAGATCATTTATGGGGGTTCATAACAAAGCTCGCGATAGAATAAAAATCCGTTTGATTGATATTTTCTTTTAAATAAAAAGCAAGAAATAAAATAAACAACTTTATTAATATGTACGCTTTGATTGTAAAGACACTTGAATTACTTACATATTATAGACACGCGTTTGCAAAAGGGGGCAAACCAGTATGACTTGAAAAAAAGGCGTGACATATTTATCTGAGAAGAAGAATTGATAAGTTACATTATTTAAGTTGAGTTCTATATATATTATCTTTTCATAGACTGAAAATACCAGAAAGTATATAGTGTCAAGAGCAAAACATCTTTTATTACAAAATGGGTAGAAGCCCTATCATTTTAAAAATAAAAGATATTTAGTCAGCAAGGTGTTTCATTTTGGTTAGGAGATTGTTTATTACCCGTACTGTTTTGAATGCTTGTTGAGTGTATTGTTTATCTAATATATATTAAGATGATTCTAAAAGTCAAAAGTATTAATAAAAGTTGAGATCTTAAGAGTAAGCTTACCAAGACATGTAAAAAGAGACAAAACGAGAAGAGCAGGTTAAAGAAAGAGAAAATAAAAAAGAGGGGCGCAGTTATTCTATTAAATATGAATTCGGGGTTTTTTTTAAAAATAAATAAATCAAAAAATAATTTTTGTCTGTAACTTAGAATTGAAAGAAAACGCAGTTGCACTATGCCAGCAGCTAATACATATGAAAAACAGAGTATAGTATAAAATCATATTATTCAAATACTAATACATAATATAAGAATAAAACATGGATTGAAAATTAAATTAAAGAAACATATAAAATACTCACAACAAGAGTGGAAACATTCAAAGCTGTTCTTGTTACGTAATAGATCATGGTGTTCTCTGAGAAAGAATAAAACTTAAAGCCCAAATTAAACATAATATAAATAGACCCTTTGGATTTAAAAAAAACAAGCTATTCTAATTATTCACAATGTCAAGAAATCTCAATAACAATTCAGTTAACAATGCTTTTGGTGAAGAACCTTCTGTGGGAAGGTAGATTAAAACCAGGCAGTCTTCAATTTTCTTATATTAATTTTATTTTCGTTTTTTATAAAAATTAAAAAAAAGCCCACCAAGAAATACCAATGATATAAGGACGATAATGTTGCAACACTCACAGGGAACAGTGAGCAATCAAAGACCACTAGCACCAAAGAGAGCTCGGTTGAATCTTGAAGGTGATTCGTCAGGTAGAACTCGTAACATCCATGATGTGTACGAGAAACTTGATACCATGAATGGTGTCTTAAACACTGTTTTGAAGAACACATCTTCTGAGAAAGCCGAAGCCACTGCTAGTAATGCAGTTGAGCAAGACATGTCACCTGGACGTCAACCAACATTGGATGTAAGTAATCATAATATGTTTTTATGTAGATAGAATTTAATATACATTTATATTATAGCAATTGTTGCGCGATTATTTGAGTGAAGAGAAATTGTATGACCAATACAATACCAATGAAAATAAAAACAGTGAGGGAAACAGACTCGTTCTGAAATCTGTTACCAATTACCTTCGTCGTCAAGAAGAGGGGAAAAAGGTGGACTTGCCAACTCTTTGAACTAAGATTGTGCGGCACATTGGCAACAGAAAGTTACAAGAAAAAAAAACAGAAGAAAAGAAGCAGGAAGAGAATCGACGGGTCTGTCTTTGTCAGCGACATGTAAAGGTAAAAAACACACTCACACAATATACTAGATATGATATTAAATTAGAAATATTATATATTTATATATAGTTGTGTGAAAGAAGACAATCTGCCTTGAAAGCCAATCGGGCATACTTTGTGAACAGCTTTGGAGAGAATGTTGACAGTATTCTCTATGCTGATTACATGTCAGACCTTGAGAGTGATGACGAAAGAGAAGAAGAGGAACAGGATTCGTCCTCAGAAAAGAGTTTTTTTTGGAGATTCCGCCCAAGCAGGAGAAGCGAAGAGGTATAGTACAAAAAACTATTTTTTTGGATAATGTGTAATAATACTTACATTGACATATAGGGAGATAGGTTCGTTGATGAACTTGATGCGGATTATGAGGCAGCTCATGATAAGAAAAATAATACCCATCCATTCGAGCATAAATTTAAAGGAATAAGAGATAAGCAGCTTAGTAAGACCAAGGCAAACAAGCTGCCATCATGGTCAAAGAAACAATAAGACAATAAATCAAACATTTTCTAATAAATTGATAAAAGAGTGCAAAGTGATATTTTATTAATATTATTTAAGCTTCTATTTTTTGGGGTAAAGGGGTTACTAAACGTTTAAATTCACTAGTTATAGTAAACCTATATTTAGCAATTGCGATTGGTGAATATAAACGATGTACTGGAATAATACATTCATAATTAAGTACAGAAGAAGGTTCATTCCAGAGCTCAATGCCTTCATTTAACATTGGCTGGTAACTCCCCAAAGAATAACTAGAGTACCACTCAACAAATGCAAAAGTATGGGTGATGACAGTTTCGTTGATGGTTATCAAATGTTGAAATAAATACAGTATACGGCCAGGAAACGCTGCTTTATCTTCACTGTTATTCTCAAGATAATAGGTGCGGAAATAAGATCCAGAAGAGTATTCCTGTCCAAGAAGAGATATCCGTTTCATTTTCTCAATTCGGTTATTGACAAAAATCTGGTTAGACTCGCAGTTTGAATAATGGCCAAAAAGATCGTGACTGCCATACGCGTGTCTGTAAAACTCCAATAAACATTCATAATGTCCCTTGCACATTGTAATCCTTTGGTCGAGTTTAATCGGAAACACTGAAGGGGGCAACAGCTCACAACCCAAAGCAGAATGACAAGGGTTTAACGAATATTCAACAAAGTCAGACAGAGAAAAGGTACTGGCAGTAGAAGATGGATGCAATGCTGCTAATTGATCTTGACTATTTGAAATGCGATGCAGAAAGTCAATTGCGAACTGGGGGAGATGGTTGACGAAAGATTGTATGAAGCTGCCAATGTATGTTCTCTCCAAAAATCTCTTCATCATTGTTGATTCGAAGCCGCCTTTTTGATTTGTTTCAATATTCTTCAACAAACCATTGTATCTCTTGAAACTGAATAACCAGAAAGCATAAATTGGCCCAAAGTCATGAACACACTCGCCAAGATGAAGATGTAGATGCATATTCGGTGTCACGGCCGATTTTCCATACAGTGTCTGGAATCTTGTACAAAACAATTGGAGTTTACTGTGGGCTTCGTCTATTTCTTTGTCATTGATCGAAGGTTTTGTGAGTAAGCGGCATGCGTCAACAAACAAAATCCAGTTTTCGAGATTCTTGGCTGGGAGCACATGCTTCAGAACAAATGGAGAGTATATGACGCACCACGACTTCCACTCGTCAGCTTTCATGAACGAAAACCCATCGGCAATCTTCTTTGTTATACGCGCATATCCACAAGGTACAACAATACCATTGGCAAGCTCTTGCATAGTTAACTGATTCTTTTCAATGATGTAGTTACACTCGCGCCATATCTGAATCATTCGCTTTGCAGTTCCAAGATAGAGGTTATGCATCGGGTCTATAACTGTAAAGCGGACTGAGTCAAAGTAAGATAACCGATGAAGCTCTGACCACCAAGTGCTGTTTTCTTTTTCTAGGCGTGTTCGCTCAGTATTGTTCAATGCATTTGCCCAGCTGACAGCATGTTTCAGATTCATTGTCTTCGTGCGTCTCACCCAATTGCTATACTTGAATCCAGAGTAGTCAAGCTTGCTGGTCTTCTTTATAGTCGTGAATTGTTGTTGACATTTGTGACAGGCGCATGTGCTCATGTGGCCAGTAAATCCAGAGGTTTTGCAAGCAGCAGGGATATCACAGGCAACACACATCAATGCAGCATGAACAACAATCTTTCTATTTTGTGAGTCTGTCATTTCTACACCAATGTACATCTCCAACAATTTGTCAATGAGTGGCTTTAAGTAATGATTCATGCTGTTAGTGCTTGCTTCCTTTGGCCCAGGCATCATACCAACAAGAATGACATTTTCAGACTTAAGGCGTTCACTCCATGGGAGATTGTTGATAGAGAGATATATCGCATCACTGGAATGTGTTTGTCCATCAAATGGCTGAAACCAATCGATATTCAGAGTCAACATTAAAGATCAGCTATCATCAACAAACCGTCTGCCATTGATGTCTTTAATATCACTCCAAACTGCACCATCGAAAATGTCAAGTTTGGTGTTTTCAATTATTTGACAATTTCTCTACAAATTGATCTTGGACATGAAATCTGGCTTGGAGAATTTTTGTTGCAAGGCGTACTTCAGAGTTGAATGGATATATCATTGCTGGAAGAGAATAATTTCCAGTTGACACTTTAAAGAGATTGTTGTTGCAAATGGCAGATTGAGAGAATTTCTTAAATGTATAGACTCTTTGACTTGTTTCCAAAGGATAAATCGAATGACATTGTGAGCATGCAATGTATACTGTCATTCCGTCTGTTGCCATGTTAAATCCTGTTTTATGCTTCAAGCTATTGATTGTCAGTGGAAGGGCACCAGACATATCACAGAGAGACAGTAAAGTATTACAAAATTCAATGAGAATCGATTCACTGCTTTCTACCAAAAAGATCAAGTGAAATATGACAATGAATACTGCAACAAAGCGGATATACAAGGGCATGTTATCAAAAGATGAAAGACGAACTATGAAGACAAAGGTTAAGTTAGTTTAAATTAATATATTGATTAATTGTCTATACCGTATTAATTCATATCTGATTCTACTATCAAGGTCCCACTGGTCTCATCAAAGTTTTCTTCTTGTTCAAAATCAAAACTGGTATCACCTTCTTCAATCTCATTGCTATCAACCACAAATGCTCTTGTAATTGTATCTTCGGCAGTAAAGATGGACTCTTTTTGGGACAAAGGTAAGTCAACTGGAAAGGAATAATTGTTGTAAAGATGTAGAAATAAAAATATAATTACAATTATAATCATATAAAAAATAAAAAATAAAAAAATATATATCAGTTTCAATTATTATTTTGTTCATTTATCTTATTTTATTTTCTTACCTTCTTGATCAAATTCAATGTTTTGTTCTTCATTTTCATCTTCATATTCGCCTTCGCCTTTGTTTTCGTAATCATAATCATTGTCATTGTCACTGTCAATACTATCTACTTCCATGTTGTCAAAATGTTCTTCAGGAACATCTATTTTATGAATTAATTTATATTAATTTTACATGTACAGCTCGAGTTATTCTTGTTATTTACCCATTGCATCGTCTTTGGCAACAGGCACTATATGTTTTTCATAGTGTTGTTGTGCATTTTGTCTTTTCTGTTTCTTTCCACAGCTATCCAACTTTGTACAGTCTGGACATTTGCAGATAACATAACTGTCTTTCTTTTGATTATTGGATATGTCGATTGTTTTAAATTATAAAAAAAATTATATAGATTTTAAGAGATCTTGATCAAGGTCTTTATATACCAAAAAAAATTATAAATAGATAAAATACAGCTCCATGCCATGACTATAGTATACCAAGTAATTCTTTGATACATCTACCGCACATATCATCATAATTATACTCATATATTATTAAGTCATTAACCAAGTCAAATACTGCATACATTACTAAAAGTGTATGCAATTTTTTTTTAAAAGTCTTTTTTTAGAATTATAATATTTGATATGACGATGATTTGACCATGACAAAAAATAATCCAAAAATGGAACATTCACCTCTCACAACATGTGAAATAAAAAAATCTGATATTTTAGTTCCATATATCAAAGGGAAAAATCACGCAAAAATATTGCCACAGTAAAAATAAAATCACAATCTTTTGTCTCGTTCTCTTGAAATATATTGATTAAATATTTGTTCTTATATTCACATTTATAATATATAAAAAATATTTAAATGATTTATTTTGAAATAGAAAAAGTGAAACCTTAAGAATATATATAATTTTTATTAAATATTATATTAACTTTTGTATAAGTGTTTTTTCAATGTAATTTAGAATTATATCAAAGTATATAATATAAAAAAAACCCAATTTTGTAATTTTATGGCCAAAAAAAATGACAGTAGTTTGATTTTACAGCTAAAAAAGAGCGATCTGAAATCACAACAGAAAAAAATAGAAATTATTTAAAAAAATTAAAAATCGAAAATTGTAGTAAAATTTTTGCAGGTTTTCAGGAACTAAAATCAGTGGTCTTTTGCAGTGAAAACCATCACGACCAGTTTTGTCAGAGAACAGTCTTTGAGAGGCAGCAACCCAGCGGGCAGAAGGAACTCGAAGTGTCTTGGCTGACAGAATCAAGTTTGTTTTGATGGTCCAAGTGGAGGCAGTAGTTCCAAGATCTGCAGTTGACTGGGATGCAGGAAGAGAGGCAAAGCTGGGAACAGGACTAGTCACATTGTTTTGCAACAATTGAGATTGGAGATCAGCATTCTCCTGCCGGACATTAGCTAATTGAGTATGCAATTAGACATTTTCAGCAGCAAGTGATTCCAAATATGCTGTACGTTCGTTAAGTGCATTGAACTGTGACTGCATACTGGTTAAAAACGTCACAAGTTTGGGTGGCAGACTTTGCATGCAATTAGTAGGCAACAATTGCGACATGTTTGGCGATGATTTAGAGATGGTGGCAATCGGCAGAGAAAAAGTGAAAATCGGTGATAAAATGACAGGAACAATAGAAAATTTTTTTTTGACAATAGATGCGGTGGTGGGAAGGGTAGATGCGTTGTGTTTGATAATAGATGCAATGGTTGAAGCAATATTTAGCATGAATTGATGATATAATTGTATGGATGCAAACTATAACACTTTTAATGTTTACAACAATACAGCTTACGTGATATACCCTTGCCCGGCTAGCTCAATCGGTAGAGCGTGAGACTCTTAATCTCAAGGTTGGGGGTTCGACCCCCCCGTTGGGCTTACATTTTTCTTTTTGTAGAAAAAATCTAAAAGTATTGTTTTGTCAAGTGTTCTTTCCGATCTGGGTTGGTCTTCCTTTTACTCTAACAAAGTCAAAAGGTAAAAGCCACTGGAGATCAAGAAGTATATATAAAATCAAAGAGAGGACAAAAGATATTTTTTATTGATATGAATTGAATTGTCATATATAGCTTTTTAAACTAATTCTATGTATTATCCACAGTAACTATTATATTATATTTAAATAAAAGAAGAGTCATTATACTGCAGTTAATGCTCAGGAAAGTGTTACTGTACATAACAAGGTAGTACGGTTAATCGTCTTCAGATTTTACAGATTCATCACAATAATGTCTGACATAAGTTATTATTTTCGATCTAGGTTGTTTTTCCTGTCAGTCGACATTGGCAATCAAAATCGGAATTCACAAGTAGTCAATAATGATTGACTTTTAGGGTAAAAGATCTTGTTATTGCCAATTAGTCTTTTGTATATGTTTTAGATGTTTAACATGGTAAATATACTTATAGAAGATATTACTGGATAACTAGCATCTAAGACATATTAATGTAGCTATTCTTTTAGCCAGAAATCAAGTATTAATTTATATAAATATTCAAGAAATATATTTAATAAAAAGCTGTTTTTATTTTCTCTCCAAAAATTATTCATAAGCTTGACAATCCTCAGTAGTATTAATTTTACAACTTAGTTACAAGTGCCAGAAAAGAAATATCAGATTGAGACTTGACGTTCCAATGCTGTAATACAGCTAAAATTAGTCAAACCCACTGGGAATCATAAACAAAGATAAAAGAATAAAAAGAAGATAAAAAGATAGATAACTTTTATTGAATGAAATAACATTCTCTTTTATATCTTTTCTAAATCTACTCAATCATTATAAATGTCTGTTTTGATTTCTATTCTATTTTTATTAAGTTATGTGCTTTCTAATTCTTTTGTAAGCAAAAGAAAATCAGTTTGGTTGTCGTTCTCAAAAGAGAATTATGTGTATCGTCATTCTGATTGGCTGACAAAAATTTGGGCATAACAAAGTCTTAATCTGGTATTGCACATTATTTTGATGAATCTGTAAAATCTGAAGATGATTAACTACAGTATCTCTTTATGCACAGTAACACCGTCTTGAACATTAAATACAGTATAATGACTCTTCTTTTATTTAAATATAATATAATAGCTACTGTGGATAATGTACAGTATTAGTTTAGAAAACTATATAAAACAATTCAATTCATATTAATAAAAAGTATCCTTTATCCTCTCTTTGATTTTACATATACTTCTTAATGCCTAGTGTCTTTTACCTTTTGACTTTGTTATTGTAAAAGAAAGATCAACCCAGATCAGAAACGACACTGATATTTCTTTTCTGGAACTTGTAACTAAGTCACAGAATCAATACTACTGGGGATTGTTAAGTTTATAAGAATAGTTTTTAGATAGAAATAAAGGTGATTTTTAGTAAATGTAATTCTTGACTATTTATATAAAAATATTGTTATTTTCTGGCTAAAAGAATAGCTATAATAATATGTCTTAGATAGTGGTTATCCAGTAATATCTCTATAAGTATATTCTTCATCTCCAACATGTAAAACATAGATAAAAGACAAATTGGCAAAGTCAAAATCTTTTATCCTAAAAATTCAACTGTTACTGATTGCTTGTGTCAAGTCTCAATCTGGTATTTCTTTTCTGGTACTTGTAACTAAGTCGCAGAATCAATATCACTGGGGATCGTCAAGTTTTAAGAATAGTTTTTTCAATAAGAATAAAGATGCTTTTTATTAATTATATTTCTTGACTATTTATACAAAATGATGTTTGATTTCTGGCTAAAAGAATAGCTACAATAATATGTCTTAGATGCTTGTTGTCCAGTAATATCTTCTACAAGTATATTCACCATCTTAAATATCTAAAACATATACAAGAGACCAATCGGCAATGTTAAGATCTTTTATCCTAAAAAGTCAACCATTACTACTAGTTTTATCCATTCAATTGGTGCCCATTTCCATCTAATTAGCATCCATTTCTATCTAATTAAAACCCATTGACATCTGATTGGCTTCCATAAAAATTGAATTTGCATCCATTGCTAACTGAATTTGCTCCCATTGCCATCTGAATTTGCTCCCACCCTTTTACTATTGGTGGAAGGGTACATGACACTCAAATTTTTTATCCTTACGCCTTACAATTTTTTTTATATAACTATAGTATTTTTTTTTGTAAACGTCGTATTTTTTTTATATAACTGTAGTATTTTTTTTATATAACTGTAATATTTTTTTCTGTAAACATCATATTTTTTTTATATAACTGCTATTTTTTTTATACAAGTGCCAAACGCCTAATGTAATAGCACTTCAATATATGTAGATCTTTCTATAAAGATACATCATAGAAAATATCTATAGAGAGAACTAACGGAATATGCAAACTTCTCTCCAGATTACTTTGTTGAAGTTAAATACCTTAATGCAGTTATAAGATAATAAAGCAAGTATCTCATTATAATAATTATGTTAAAATTGAAAATGCAATGATATTATTTGTATTCTTTCTTTATTGCAGAGTAAGTTTTGAATAAAAGATTCATTTTTTTGTCACTTGTAGCCTCCTTGTTGTTTTTAATGAAAAAACAACTGGAGACTTTCTCCACTTCAAAATATAGCCACCAGCAGTTGTTTGTTTCATATTTACTATCTTTCTGGCTTTTTCGATAGTTAATCCCCTTATGAAGTAGAGATAAAGAAGCTTTTTTATATCTTTATCCGTATGCTTTTGATATTGCCCTCTACTTTTTTTGGGGGTTTCGTCTGTTGTTGACGGGGCAGAACTTTTTGGATCTTCAGGCTTTTCAGGCTCTTCAAGTTCTTCCATGATTTTTTCAAAGGCACTGTTATATTCTTCAAGTTTCTCGTGTAACATTTTAGGATTTTCTGATAATAAAAGATGAAAAAATAAAGAAATAGAAAGATATGTTAAAATAACATATTTTATATAAATACAGTTATATCTAGTATATAGTAGTTATAATGAAATAGTAATTACTTAAGATGCAAGATAAAAATCAGAACACAAGTTGAAGCAGCAAGAATAGATATAAAGAAGATTAAGTTATTGTTAAATAGTATTAGTCATTATATTTTCAGCTTTTTATATCAAAAAATAATATTCCAAGGTCCACTAAATAAAGTAGTACAAATTGAACTCAAGGAGATAAAAAATAAATAGGACAATATATTACTTGCAGCCATAAATTTATTATAAACATTCTTTTTTAAAAGAGATATCATAATTCTCTCTCTTTCTATTTGGTGTTTATATACCAAAACTGTTTATTTCTCTTCTTAAATCAGCAATAAATCTCATTCTCATGCTCACTTCAACAACTAAATATTACTCTGACAATGAAAACACTGCTTAAAGCTCTACACCTCATGGATTTTTTATTACTGGTTTTATCCATTCAATTGGTGCCCATTTCCATCTAATTAGCATCCGTTTCCATCTAATTAGAACCCATTGACATCTGATTGGCTTCCATAGAAATTGAATTTGCGTCCATTGCCAACTCAATTTGCTCCCATTGCCATCTGAATTTGCTCCCCCCCTTTTACTATTGGCGGAAGGGTACATGGCACTCAATTTTTTTATCCTTACGCCTTACAATTTTTTTTTATATAACCGTAGTATTTTTTTTTGTAAACGTTGTATTTTTTTTATATAACTGTAGTATTTTTTTTTGTAAACGTCGTACTTTTTTTTTGTAAACGTCGTATTTTTTTTTGTAAACGTCGAATTTTTTTTATATAACCGTAGTATTTTTTTTTGTAAACGTCGTATTTTTTTGGCATAAAACATGGATATTTTTATTAGGCATAATTAGTTGATAGAGAAATAGAACACATAATAAGAAGTAAGATATAATGAAATACAAAGTAATAAAAAAAGAAAAGCATAAAGCAGTAAAATAAATAAAAAAAGAGGGACATAAAGTGGTAAAAAAAAAATAAGAAAAAGAGGGATATAAAGTAGTAAAAAAAAAATAAGAAAAAGAGGGACATAAAGTAGTAAAAAATAAAAATAAAATAAAAAAAGACATAGAGTGTAAAGAGCTTAAATAGACATAAAAGACATACTTAAAGCTTTCGCTCTCTGTTCAAACAGCGAGGAAAGAATGAAATGGCATGGTTAATCCAACCCAAACAGTCCGAAAGGGTGACAGTCTTAGCTGATTCTGTAATCCTTAAGATGAGCCCGTCTGACTCTGTAATCTCTTCTCTGCGGACACCAAACTTGATCTTGGACCACATTTCCTCAATTGGATTCAGGAAAGGTGAATACACAGGAAGATATGCACACTTGTACCCACGGGAAGAAATAAAGTCTTTCACCTCATCGGCCTTATGGATAGGAGCGTTATCCATGATGAGATAACGTCCTTGCATACCCTGGCTGTCCAGAACGTCCATTGTATGACTAAGAAAGTCGAGGTAGTGCTGGGTTCTGGTGCCAATTCGACCGTTCACCTCAACGTTGGTGTAGATGTCCAACTTTCTCTTCTTCTTGGTTGCGACTGCAGTGGGTTTCTTCAACGAGAGGCTGACGATCCCTCTCTCGCACATTGCACCAAGGATGGTGATGGACACACCTCTCTGCGTCGGGACAGTTGTCTTTGCTGGGGTGCCACTGACGGAACGGCCAAAAGTTCTCTTGATGTGCATGTTGAAGCCTGCTTCATCGATGAACACACAGTTCAACAGATAGTTGAAATCCGCAAGTTGTTGCCACTCCAAAATGCGGTCTCGTCTCATCTCAATTGTGTTGGTGTCGTTTCTCTTCTCAGGCAGCTTCTCCAACTTCTTCATCGTCAGGGCACACTTCTTCACCAAGTGCTTCTGGATTGCTGATTTGGTAATCTGCAGCCCAGAGAACTCTTCCATGACAGCTATCCTTGCTTATTCCAAGGTAGCATCTGGTTTATTTTCGAAAAACTTCAAAAAAAAAGCAGAGTGCGCCTGGAACAACTTTTGGTTGCCATGTTTTCGTTCTTTAGGCGCAGAAACCTCCTCAACCTCCATCGTCTCCAGCCCATTGGACTCATCAGTCTCCACTGTGGCAGCATCAAAATCGGCCTGGATCTTCTCTCTGGCCAGCCTGACGTAGTTCTGGGCAGTCCGGACATTGATCCCCGTTTCCCTGGCAGCGGCAGCAGCAGTCTGGTTTTCCGAGAAAACCAAGGAGAAGAGCTTGTTCACCTGGTTTTGGTTGTACTTTCGGTACGAACCTCGACCTATGTTTTCTGCAGTGGGAACAGAATCAGGATCGACCTTCTCCAGCAGATTCGTCTTTGGCTTCTGTGCAACAATTGTCTTGGTTGTGGCCTCGTTGACTTCGGTTGGCAGGAAACTTTTGAGACTGAGGAGGTTTGTGACTGCTGGGTTTCCGGCCGAGGTACGGGTCCATTCCATATCGGCATGGTTGACAAAGACATCTGTCACAGATCGGAGTACAACTTCTCCATGCATTTCGTCGACAATCTCTTGGTTGAAATCGCACAAGGGGTCGAAAGCAATTCCAGAAAACTGGGTTTGGTCTGCAGAACCGCTGTGACTGACCATTTCACAGTGCTTGTCCATAACAAATTCGAGGGAGTTGTTGGAAGTAAGCATTTTTTTTTGAAAATAAAAAGGGTGTTAAAATCGAGGAAGAAAGATAACTGAGAAACTTTTATTAAGACACTGGGGTATATATACCAAAAAAAAATATATTTTAATAACTTAAACGTTTCTACCAAGGTATAGTCTTGTCCTGTTGTCTTAATATATTTGGATAAAGAACGTGTTGAAGAATAATGAATGTTTACATATTAAGCTTCTTCACACTTTTAAGAACATTTATTTTATTAGCCGATTTACAGTGCTACCAGAGCCTTTATGGTGTCCTGTCCTCTGTCTCGAAGGAAGGGGTGGGATTTCTCCTCATGGGTTTGCCCAACCAAAAAAAAAATAAAAAAAAAATAAAAAATAAAATAAAAAAATAAAAAAAAATAAAAAAAAAAAAATAAAAAAAAAAGAAAGTTTTTTTTTGTATAAAGCCAAGGAAAAGCTCGAAATTCAGTTATTGAGATTTTCAGTTTTTCAGAAATTTCTGCGATTAGATACCATTTTATTTTCAGTTATTAAGATTTTCAGTTTTTCAGTTATTGAGACTTTCATTTTTTCAGTTATTGAGACTTACAGTTTTTCAGTTTTTCAGTTTTTCAGAAATTTCTTGCAGTAAGATATCATTTTATTTTCAGTTATTGAGACTTTCAGTTTTTCAGAAATTATTTGCGAAAAAATGGTTATGTATATTATAAAAAT